TATATTTTAGATTTGAAATATCTAGTATAATAATCATTACATTTTAACAAAGAGTATTAACTATATCAGTCATGCCCAGCCCATAGCTCTTTGTGCTCGCATTGTTTTTGTAATTGCTCTTTAGCATAGGCAGAGCAATCGCCGTATGCATGCACGGCTCACTCCATAAGCAAAGGAGATTACACAAACAATTTTGCGTATTCTCTTCATTCTCCACGTCTTCGTTGATCTCGGCAACAACACTTTCATAGGCTTCACCGTTAACTCGCTTGTCCGAATGTAAATTGTTGTTGGATCGCCGAAAAAAGTACATCGCGAAAAATCAGTTGTATTTTGCGTTGCGGGCAAGATGTTTGATATTGCAGAATCTAATTTTTTATTTTGTAAAAATTGCTATGGTGAGCCCCAATACATTGTTAAAATGTATTTTCATGTATTTTTATTACTTCCGATATCTTAATTTGAATTTACTTTCATTTTTTTCAGTGCAGAAATTTGAAGTAAAAAAAAACTTTTGCGTAAATGTATTTGTGTTTTCATTTATATGTATTGGTGCGTTGCTCTGCCATAAGCAACGTTTGGGCACCCCTGAACTATATAGAGCACACATCTCATACAAAACAAGAAAGGGGTTACATTCGGCACGCCGAAGTTTGTATACCCTTGCAGCTTGCAATTGGATCATTAAGAATAGATTCATTTTGAAAAAAAATAAAAGAGAATATATTATAGTTGTATATTTATACATAGAATATCATAATTTTGTTTGATGTTTATATTATAAATATTATGTGTTTGATAGTTACAGTTTTACATTCCCAGCTTTACATTTTCTCTACATCTAACGATTGTTTCTATGGCAGCTATATGATATGTATATGTAGTTGTCCGATTTTCATAAAATGTATACCAAAATTCTGAAACATTAAAAAAACTCATATCTCAGAGTAGATGAAAATACGTTTAAAAACCACGAAGTTATTATTTTTTTTTTACCTTTGCAGGGTATTATAATTTCAGTCAGAAGTTTGCAACGCAGTGAAGGAGACGTTTCCGACCCTATAAAGTATATATATTCTTGATCAGCATCAACAGCCGAGTCGATCTAGCCATGTCCGTCTGTCCGTCTGTCCGTCCGTCTGTCCGTCCGTCTGTCCGTTTCTACGCAAACTAGTCCCTCAGTTTTAAAGCTATCTGAATGAAACTTTGCATATAGTCTTCTATATACTCTCACTGCTATATATGTCGGAACGGGCCGGATCGGACGACTATATCATATAGCTGCCATACAAATGTTCGATAAATTTTTAGAAAAAAAATTTTAACTTGGCTGTTTTTCAATATTATTCCATTATTTTTGAGATATAGCCTTTTTATATTATTCCAGAATTTTGGTAAAAATTTTATGAAAATCGGACGACTATATGATATAACTGCCATAGGAACGGTCGAGAAATAAATAGGAAAGAAAATTATAGTTTCGTTGTTTTTCAACGTATGTTTATCTACTCTGAGATATAAGCTTTTTTTATTATTCTAGAATTATGGTATAAATTCGGACAACTATATCATATAGCTGCTATATAAACCGATCGGTAGATGTAGAGAAAATGTAAAACTGGGAATGTAAAACTGTAACTGTCAAACTGTAAACATAATAAGTATAGGTAGAATGTAATGAAACTCTGTTTTGTGAGTGTTTTCACCATTTAAATCTATAATATAAACATCGAAACCAATCTGCAAGGGTATACAAACTTATATAGAATTTTGGTATACATTTTATGAAAGTCGGACAACTATATCATATAGCAGCCATAGAAGCGATCCGTAGATGTAGAGAAAATGTAAAGCTGGGAATGTATAACTGTAACTGTCAAACTGTAAACATAATAAGTATATGTAAAATGGTATGTAACTCAGTTTAGTGTCTGTTTTCGGCATTATAATTTATAATATAAATATGAAAACCAATCTGCAAGGGTATACAAACCTCGGCGTGCCGAAGTTAGCTTCCTTTCTTGTTTTTTCTATTAATTTCCCGATCGTTCCTATGAAATAATAAAAATAGGAATATCTCAAAAATTATAAAAATATGTTAAAAAACAGCCAAGTAATAATTTTTTTTTCGATTATTTGTATGGCAGCTAAACGATATAGTCGTCAGATCCGGCCCGTTCTAACATATACGGCAGTGAGAGTTTTAGAAGACTAAGGAAAAAAAAACAAAATAAAAAGAAGAAAATCTAACGACTAACCAGGATTTGAACCCACGTATCTCAGTTTGGCAGACCGATGCCTTAGCCATTAGACCAGCCGGCAAGCAGGCCTTGGGTGCCCAGATTCGAACTAGAATCGAGCATTGCGGGTTCCACGTTGAAAATGTGGGTTCAACCACTGGAACCCGCTATGCGACACATATATTTGTATGAGATGTCCCCTCTGTATAGTTCTATACTCTTTATCTAAAAGCAAAATACAAACTGTTTAACCAAACCAAAAAAAGTAAAATAATATTCATTAAAAAAAAATTGAAAAAAATCCTTCGAGCCGGATTTGAACCAGCGACCTATGGATTTCTATATAAAGCTCACATTCTACAGTCCACCGCTCTACCAACTGAGCTATCGAAGGTGTTATGAGCCGAGCGACCATTGTCAGTTTCGTTCGTAAGTGACGAGGGAGGGAAACCATTAGAGAAGAGACACATGCGAAGAGACGGTCAGTAATGCCATTTTCGCTCCTTTGTAAGCCTTAACTTAAATTTAATAAAAATAAGTAAAAACTTAATAAGTTAATTTATTTATTTATTTTATAATATTATAAGAAAACCATTCTCACTCCAGACCATTGTGTATAAATCCTTGCAACTACAGTGATTAAATATCATCTACAAGTTCAACAAACTTTGTGACATAAACCAATTATAAAATCGAGTGACACAGCAAATACAAAACACAACAAAAAGCAACAACAAGCTGGGGTGCACCCTGTGAAATCAAAATGATACCACCAGACGAAAATAAACTACTTTCTAAGAATTCAAACTCAGATGAACAAAAATATAAAATTATTAAAGGAAAGGACAATTTATCTCTTGAGAGTGAAATCCGTTCACTCAGTAGCCCATCTGTTTTGGCTATATATGTAAAACCTTCACCTGTTGAAAAATTTCCCTGATTAAAATACACAAATTTGTTTCCTCTGTGGATAGATTTTATTAAAGCTTAAAGCAATGGGTGTTTTTTTTTTTTTTTTTGTAAAAATTCGAATCTCATTTCTTATTATTTTGATAGAAGTCAGAACAACTTTCAGTAGTGAAGCATTTCACAAAAAAACTAAATGTAAACAAAAATTCTTCTAATAATGGAACTCAGTTAACTTTCTGTTTTGGCTACATAAAAAAATTCACATGTTGAAAAAATTCCCTAATTGAAATACAACAATTTTTTGCCTCTGTGGGTAGATTTTATTTAAGCTTAAGCCAATTAGTGTTTTTTGGGGAAATTCAAATCTCATTTTCCATTGGCTTTAAATAGAAGTCAGGACAAATTTCAGTAGTGAAGGATTTAAAACAAGGAAGGAGAAAACATAGCATATATAATAATAATTTGGTTTTGATAAAAAAAAACCCAACTTTAATCGCATAAAAAAATATATATTTTATATTTAAATATTTAATAAAATAACATTAAAAATTTAAAGGCTAAAAAACACACAAAACCAAGTTTCATTACATGTTACCTATACTTATTATACCCTTGCAGGATATTATAATTTCAGTCAGAAGTTTGCAACGCAGTGAAGGAGACATTTCTGACCCTATAAAGTATATATGTATATTCTTGATCAGCGTCAACAGCCGAGTCGATCTAGCCATGTCCGTCTGTCCGTCCGTCTGTTCGTTTCTACGTAAACGAGTCCCTCAGTTTTAAAGCTATCTGAATGAAACTTTGCATTAGTCTTCTATATACTCTCACTGCTATATATATATCATATAGCTGCCATACAAATGTTCGATAAATTTTTAGAAAAAAATTAAAACTTTGCTGTTTTTTAACATTTTTGCATCATTTTTGAGACATGGCCATTTTGTATTATTTCAGAATTTCGGTTTTAATTTTATGAAAATCGGACGACTATATCTTATAGCTGCCAAAAGGAACTATCGGGAAATTAATAGATAAAAGAGTATAGCTTAGTTGTTTAACAGTTACAGTTTTACACTCGCAGCTTTACATTTTTCTGTACATCTACCGATTGTTTCTATGGTAGCTATGATATGACTATGATATAGTCGTCCGATTTTTCTAAAATTAAATGACCTAAAAAGAAATGTCGCGTGCAAAGGAATTAAAAGTCAATTACAAAAAACCTACTAAATATAGTTATAAGTCAAACCTACATCATTAAGACTAATGTACATATACATAATACGTGAAATTAATTGCATTAAAATCTTGCATCACGTTTCGCTTAAATCAGTGAAGACGAACCATTGGCTAAAATTAATCTTAACATCAATTATAGTGCTAAAAGTTTCAAATTTTGAAAAATTAAAATAAAGTCTAGGCACATTATTCATTTAGTTTGTTGGTCATACAAAGACGGTAATTGGTTTCCCCTTCCGTACTATATTGCTAGAAATCTGCAGTATTATTTCTTTTGAATATGCCTCCACAATTTTTCCTCCCAATGCCGAAGTCAATATCTTGCAATTTACAAAAATTTCCGACAACATTGGAGATTAGAACTTTCACCAGATATAGCCACACCCACCTAGTTCTCCAGCAAAACGAAATTTAAAGGAATTTAATTAATAACGTTACTTATACATACGCATCGTGTGCTGCTGACCTGTGGGCAGGATAGGGAAGAACAAGTGAAAGCTGAAATCCATTATAGCCATTTGCAAGCTAGCAATTTGCGCCAGCCGAAGCGGTTCGTTAAAGGAGCCAAAAGCAAAAGTGAAGAAAACTCAATTTCCGACGCACGGAAAATGCAACAAAAATGGCACTTTTAATTGAAATATTACAGCAACAAGTTGGGGGCCCTCCAGCTCCTCAATTATCTTCGGTTCACTAGACATAGGGGATACTCTTGGAGCTTAAGGGAGATATTGCCCTTCACCAAAAGCTCGTCCAACCGTGCCTCTGTGCTAATGCGATAGCTGTAAAATATCCTGGCCAACAGCAGTTTCATCAGGATCTGGGCATATCGGTAGCCAATGCACATGCGCAATCCCTTGGTGAACGGGACAAAGGCGAAGGCGTGCCTCAGTGGCGCGTCCTTTCCGAAATGCGCCTCCGGATTGTAGGTTCGGGCAAGAGGACCCCACACCCGCTCGTCGCGCTGCATATTGTAGATATCGATCCCGATCTGAGTGCCTCGAGGGATTAGAAAGTCGCCGTCGTCCCGCCGCAATTGCAAATCCTGTTCCGCCGATCGCAGGACCATCGGTACGGGAGCAAACAGCCGCATGGCCTCGTTGATCACCATTTCCGTGTAGTCGAGTCGTTGCAGCTGCTCCAGGGAAACGTCGCCAGTGGGCGGCAGCTCCCTGACCAACTCCTCGTGGAGCTTCTCCTGGTAGTACGGGTGCATGGCCAAACAGAGAATCGTAAAGTATAAAGCCGTCGATGTGGTTTCGAAAGTCTGAGGGGAAGAAGATATATTGACGATACCTGCCGATTATTAAACTGTAATTGTGGCCATTTGGTTGCAGCTGTCATCCAAGACTGCTGAGAATGACTATGGCTTGCCTACTTACCGCTGCTATTGTCACATTGGCCTCGTCTCTCACGTCCTGCCAACTCAATTGCCCGCGCTCCACATGCTCCCGCACCTGTTCGATAAAAATAGCTTTGGACTTGGCCCTCATCTCCGGATTCTGCTGTTCTGCGCTCGCATCAGAGGTCACCACCGAGACAATCGGCTCGAGAAGCTGCGGTAGGAGATTTACGAGTAATAGTACCAGAGACTGAACGAAAATCTTACCTGTTCTATAAATCCAAAAAGTATGCCAACCACCTTTTTCTGTTGGCCATAAAGCCGCGATCGTCGGTAGATGAGCCCCGGATAGAGCCAGGGCGACAGCATCCGTTTAACACACACTTCAGTAAGGCTTGAAAATAAGATCAATCAATATACAATCTATACATTCTAGTTCCAGTTCCAGTTATCTAAATAGAATACTTTTTTTGTCTTAGTAACCATAAAAAGACAGCCGAAAGCTTACTAATATATTTTAAAAGCATTATTCATTTTTAAATAATACGTTTTTAAACAAAAACTATCTTTATTCTGTAAAAAATATATCGAAAATTGTGTTCTTTATCCTTTACTTAACAACAATGTTGATATACTTATATTTGTTCACCATTAGTCCGAGTCAAAGATGCCGAGAATACATTATGGACATTGCTATATTACAAGGATCTGAGTCAGCTAAGTTGAATAATAATCGATGCTGAATACTGCATCTATACTGATTTACAAAGGCATTATGGTTGTTGTTTATTTTTTTTATTTAACAAAATGTGCAACAAAATTCCGATGCCTTATTTAAATGGAAGCTTGAAAAGAATACGTACTGGAAGATGTATGGGTCATATTTTTATAATAACCTCATTTATTTTGTGTGTAAAAATATGAAACATACCCCGTGATCGTTAAAATATATAGCAGTGTAAAAGGAACAAAAGACATTTAACAGAGTAGCTTTGCAATTACGGAAACGGTTTTGACTCTAAGACAATACATAATACTATTTATTTAAGTAAAGTAATAGAGACACTAAAAATGTAACTTTACATAACCTCTCACCATAAAACTTTTACTTACCCGTTGTAAGCTTCAAAAATAGCGACAGAACCATCGTGCTGAAAATTCATTTTCCTGCCCATGGTTGTCTCTGCAAGTGTTGAGCAGTTAATAAATCGAGAATCCAAAAACGAACTCACGGCAAGCCGCTTCCAAGACGATTTTCTTGAGAATTTGATAGATCTCCAGCCTCTTTCCATGCTGCACACCCTCTAGGTCCAGCTTCTGCAGCAGGACCTCCGCTTCGGCATTGAAGATGGGCAGAAAGTTGCTGAGGATTTGGCGACCGAAGGCTGGATTAATGAGGCGACGGTGCTTGTGCCAACGAGGCCAACTGGACGTGAATAGTCCGTCACCAATGGCCGAGCTAATGAATCGATATAAGTCGCCCTTATTGGTGCAGTGCGTCGAATTAAAGATTTGCTCTACGGTGCTTGGATCGTTGATGTACAGGAAGCAGTCGGTTCCCATCCACGATATAAACGGAGCCTTAAACTGCCGCGACAAACCATCCATGTACTGTAAAAAGGCTGCAAGGAGTTCAGTCGACAGCTGGCCAAGTGATATCTCCTAACGCTTACTCGCCGGATTCATCATCTGTAATCCCATGCCAATTAACGGCCATCCAACGGGTCCTCTCAACTGCCAAGCGGCAATATAGTATCTTCGGCGACTCCACAGGAAGTAAAACCACACCAGCAGCAGCCAGCTGATTAGGATTATGCAGGACAGCATGGCGTTGAACTGGGAAGCCCCAATCCGCTGCCCAAACTTGAATTCCTACACGAGCGACGTTCGAAGGCAGACTGAGGCAACTCTGATCGTCTCAAAGCTTCATTCAGTTTTCTATATGCGTCAGTGGACACCGAAAAATTCCAACGTAACAGAACGATTTTTACGAATTTACTGAATTACTTTTAGCAGTCAATCTAACTTTTTAGATCGGCTGAACGCGAGAGACTGCCGATTTCCCGAGTTTTTCCTGATGTTTGCATTCGGAATAAAAAAAAGGGGTTTGTATCTGTGTATATATGTATGTTTGCGTGTTGATGCCCATCTTATGGATTACGCATTTGCGGTTTAATATGGCGCTTTCCATGTCCCACCACGTTGTGGGGGACTCTAATTTAAGTGGCTATTTTCATGCGATTCACGTGCCCCTCAAAATTATGCCAGTCAATATGCAGCAACCAGCCCAAGTCTTGCCAGAAACCCGCTAGCATAGAAGTGATTTCGAAATACTCTGACCAATAAATGCTTTTAATTCGAGTGCTGTAAAATTATGTAAACTACAGTAAATGTTGGTCGACAGTGCGAAGCGCCTTCAATTTAAATTTCAACACGTTGTCCAGTGACGCGCAGATTTCAAACTAGCTATTACTCTGGCATACAAAATAAAGGACGTATTCATATAGTCTTTAAGAATGCTTTATAAAGGAAGTACAAAGCAAATGTTGAGACTTTATTGTCCTAAAAATGGAGTAGTTACGACTTAATTGTACCACAATCAGGAAGGTAAACGAACTTTTAAATCATTAATCATTAATTTAAAGAATCCACATACCCGGTATTAGTAGAGCAACACCACTTTGCCGCCAGAATGTTCTTGGATTTAGTAATTGGTTAGGTGTTGTGTCAACGGAAGGAAGCGTCAGATGAGTAGGCGTATGGTCATGAGCGCGCCAATGCCCAATCAGAATCCCATTATCAATGCTATTAGCAATAATAGAGTTTTTAAATTATAATTTTTATTCGCTATTAATATTTTTACAAATTAGTTTTTCTTTTGTGGTGTTTGCCTTTTAATGTTCTTCTTCTTTTATGTTTTTCAGTATTTTCCATGATTGAATAATTTTCTTGTGGTGTTTAGTGTGTTTCCTTGTCTTGTTTTAGATTTGTTGAGATGGCGACACAAGCCGGCTTGGTTATTCATAGGCTAATTAGTTAGTAAAACTTAGTGCGCTACGGATTAAGTGAGCGTCTCTCTCCGTATTCTCCAAGGGGTTTTTTATATACTAGAAACTGAGCATCCCGATCATTGGACTATCGCCAAAACTTTAGAAAAGTGTTGCACTCTCTTAAGTGTAAGCTAGGGTTAAAAGTTTGCAAGTATTAATATTGTTGTGGACGTTGCGTTTCCAGTTTTGTTATTGGTTAGCTTTAATTATAAGTTTAAGGTTATGGCTAAAGGGCCTTTGGATCAATGGAAGCCGATCTTTGGGGTAGTTGGTGTTCAATTTCTTTGGGGATTGTTTTGGGACTCATAGACACAGTACTTTATAGTACAGTGTTTGACTTGCAGATACATAGCTCATAGAATAGTATATAAATATTTGCCAGTCACATGTCCTTAGTATATCTAAAATAATGTATATACACAATCTGTATGCCTAGCCGTGTTCTCTTACTTTACAAATAAGTTATAGACCTTTTTTATTGTCAAAAATATTGACGACTCGCGATTGCATTATTCCAGGCATTACACTTGACTTCTATAATATGGATAAGTCTACGTTTAGTTTTATTAAAAGTGACTTGCCACCTGGTTATTATGGGGTTACATTCCACAGGCTGATACTATTGTTTCGGAACGTGGATTCGACTTCTCCGAACCCGATTTGCTATATGGAATGTTGTTAACTAAGCCAAGATCATAGTCATCGATAAAATTGTGTGTTAAGATGGTATCGAATTTAGTTCTGTGCCTCATACTTAAGGCTAACACATCCCCCTTCACACCTAAACTCGTATTCCATTCACAATTCTATACACATCGGCAATGGGCGTACGGGAATCGACCCAATTGCAACTAGAATGTTTTCTTGATTAGTAAAAATATATTTACTTTTATATGTGTATATTTATTTCGCTTCAAATGCTGTAGGACTTTATTTTGCGAAACAAAGTTTGAAAATAAAAGATTATGGCTGCAGGCTCTGGTTGCTTCGCTTACTCTATATGCAACCCGTGCAAATATATATGTGTATAATGCATGTATATCTGTATACAAAATAAACTTTGCTTTCACATTGGCGCTTGCGTAAAAATGTTAATCAAAAAACATTTGCATGGTCTTTTTAATTGTTTGTAAGCTACTTTTTTTAGACGGGAGCAGAGACGGTGCCATTGTTTGGTTGTGTATTTGTGCTGGGGGGGAGTGGCGGTACGGCTATACGTAAGCTTGGAGTGTAAAAGCTTGGCTAAGGATTATAAATGACTGATGCGTTTTGATTAAATTTAAGTTTTAGTTCTCTCTGGTTGAGTTTCTTCTAACATTTCGGTTTATACTTAGGCACAATACATTTATTTTGTTTTTATTTTTCAGTTTTCACATGTTTTTTTTTTTTTTTTTTTTTTTTTGTAGCTGTAACTTTTTGCTAAATATTTTTGCTCCGCTTACGACTAACTACTACGCATAAAAACGTGTGTAAATGTGTGGGTGTGTATGTAGAAAGTGTATGAATGTGTTTGTGGTTAATTATTTCATATACTTATAAAGGGATTAATTTGCATTTCGTCTGCAATAATTTCTAGTAGACATATACGCCGCCGCGCCACGCCGCCGCCGCCGCCGATTTTTGCCTTATTTGACGCGCCGCCGCCAAATTATGAAAATAACGGCGCGCCGCGGCGCGCCGCTGGTGCGGCATCGGCGCAGCTTCAGCGCGGCCTTCAGTGTCATTGTTCTTTATAAAACTTTAAAAAAAATAAATAACTCATTAAAATGGCCTTTTTGCCTTATTTGACGCGCCGCAGCCGCCGGTTCTTTCTGACTACTACGCCGCCGCCGCCGAGTCATTTTGACCTCTACGCCGCCGCCGATGCCTTTAACCATCGGCGTAAACCTCTAATTTCTACTACAATTTAAACATCTCAGCCGCTTGGCAATTATTTAAAGCTTTTCACAATCATTTTTGTATGCAAATTCAAAAATCTAATAGGATTACAAAAATCTTTTCAATAAATAATGTATTTTAATGTACTTTGTTCAAGTAATTCCCACACTACGCAAACTCGTGTCAATGTTGTTGTTAGTTTGCATTGGTAGTTAACCTTGAACTGTTTGTTAAAAATATTGCTTAAGTTTTGCCTGTGGCTGCTATTTTTACGCAAAATGCATCGCCAATTGGTCGGGAATCATCAATAGATATTATAAAATGCTCGTTTTGGCTGAACAAAAAAACCGTTAGCGGGCGGCGGTGAAGCTACTTGTCGTTGACTGCACTCCACCGCTCTCTGTCTTCTACAAACAAATACAAATGGAAATTTATTCATAACACAAACTATGCGCACAAAGCCGCACATACAAAAAGAATTCAATTACAAAGGACATTTGTGGGTATTTTAACTTTACACACATTTTGCCTTCTATCATCATACATACTTTTCGCTTAGTTTTGTATTTCTGTTTAACAAAATACGCGCTATGTTTTCTACAAAATGCTACAAATTATACAACAATTTTAATTTTCTCCTCCCTTTGCTTCGACTTAGTTCGCTTTTTACTGATTCATAGTTAAAATATGACTTGCTTCCTTGTATCGTAAGGTGATTAACTCTCCGCCTGTTGGTTTGCAGTGAACTGTGTGATCCCGTCTTTTTCCATGGACTCTAGTATATCGGCCACATACACGGCCACGTCGGTATGACTTGTCTCACCGCGCCGGATGAAGGGCATCTCAAGCAGCCGGCTGTATTTCGGTCGATCGCTCTCCTTTTTAATCAGGCTGTAGAGGGTATATAACACAATTATATGGACAAATTTATGTAACTGTAAATGCTCACCAAGTGTTTACAAAGTCGACAAACTCTTTGGAGAACTCCATGCCATTGTAAGAGGTCAATAGTCGCGGAGGTTCGCCTTGAACAACCTGTGGGAAAGACAAAGGCAATAGGTACACATTTTAAAATATAATATCAAGAGTCCTTTGATTATCTACATGTGGATACAAAATCGCGCATGGGACGATTCGTACACATTAAAAAGAGAAAAACTGAAAAAAAAAATTTTTTCTGACAAAAAGTTTTTATTAGCTCTTTTATTGGTTGAATGATTGATTTTAGGTAATTTTTATGTTTAAGATATTTGCAAAATTCAAGTGATTCGCACGGAACATACAACGAGAGTGGTTTCAGAGATCGACCAATTTAATTGCAAATTTCTGTGAACCTCCAACAATTTTTTGATTTTTTTCAGTGACTCACATTGTTATACCCTTGCAGTGTGTTATAATTTTATTTAGAAGTTTGCAACCCAAGCTAGTCCCTCAGTTTTGAAGCTATCTAGTACATTAAACTTTGCTTATAGTCTTCTGACTACTCTCACTGATATATGTATATGTATGTATGTCGGAACCATCCTGATCGGATGACTATATTATATAGCTGCGATAGAAATAATCAACAAATTTTAAGAAAAAGAAAAATATAAACTCGTTGCTTTTGATCAAATTTTCATCTTCTTTGAGATATGGTAATTTTTTTATTATTTCGGTTCTATTTCTATGAAGATCGGACGATTATATCATAAAGCTGCCATAGAATGATCGGCAGATGTAGAGAAAAATGTAAAGCTGTTAATGTAAAACTGTAAATGTAAGCCTGTAAAATTAAAAATATATAATTACGATCTAATTGAATACTGCAAGGGTATAAAAACTTCGCCATGCCGAAGTTAGCTTCGATTCTTGCTTATGGCGTTTGCTCTTCTTTGCATTCGAATATTTCGTTATCTGCTTTACAATATGCTAAATTAGGTAAAATTATATCAATTAAAAAATGTATTCTGTGTGTTCTCATCACATAAAAAAAAAGAATCAAAATAAATATTCATGGCCTTGCAATTATACCTATAAAAGGGATAATAAATGCTTTTACCAGGCAGGAAACAGACAGGACAGGAAATGCGTATCCTAAGATAAAATGGCATAACTGATCCACTTTATAAACATCAAGTTACGCGTTACTTGCTGTCTTTAGGAAGCTACGGAAGCTATGTATGTGTTTTTACATCGAATATGGAATTCAATTTAGGTTATAAGCTTAAGTCCTTACCTGGCACAACTGCTCGAATACAGAGTCCCATTTACGATACGGGAATGTGCCTGTCGCGACCTCCATCAAAGTGATGCCCAAGGACCAAACATCGCTGCGCACATCATAGCCCTTGGCCCGCTCTGGATCGATGCGTTCCGGCTGCAGGAAATGTATATGGCAATGAAACAAATAGAATTTAAAAGTCAGCTTCTTATTACCGCCATGTAGGGCCTGCATCCCGCGTCCTTAGTTTTGGCGATCGAATCAACCAGTTGACCCGAAATACCGAAATCACATAGCTTAATGTCTCCCCGACGGTGTAGCAAGATGTTGCTTGGCTTTACATCCCGATGAATGATCTTCAGCTCCTCTTTCAGATAGTTGAGGGCATTCACTGTTGCCACCGTGATTTTGGCCAGAATGGACTCGGGTATGTGGCGCTGCTGCTTCTCGTATATGTACTTGTAGAACTTGTCCAGCGATGTGTCCATGAGCTCCATGCAGATCCAGCAATCGCCCTCCTTAAAGAGCGCCCCATAGAACTGAACTATATAGATGCACTCATTGGACTTCATGACCACTTCGAGATCCATGAGCAGCTGCTTCTGCTCCTTTTCGTCTACGGTGGAGCGAATGCGCTTGACCGCCATCACCTTGTCAAGTTTCTTAAATATCATTTTGTTGACAGCCCCGAAGGCCCCGCGACCGATTTCGCCCTCGTCGTCGAGATCATCCGAAGTGAAATGATGCGTGTTGACCGGGCCCTCGCCGAACTGTAGCTTACCGCAGGCTTGCTGGCGTATCCGCTCGCGATGACGATCAGCCGCCGAGCTGTTATTGCTGTTGCTGCTCGAAGCCAGTGGAGCTGCAGTCACCGGCGGCGGCGGCTGCAGCGGTTGCTGGGCGCCAAAGCAGCGGGACATATTGTTGTGCTGCGATGAGGAACTTGAGCCCGAGGATGTGGAGCCCGACGAGGTCGACGAGGTGGACGAAGGCGGATGGCGGATGCTGAGGTTGTTCAGGCTAAGCTGATCCGGGGGATCGCGAGAGCGACTGGGTCCGGCTGAAAGAGTCGATGAGATACTGGTCTTGATTGTGGCTTATCACTGCGCTGCGCCAGCTATGCGTCACTGTTTATTGGTGGCGAGTATGTGTACCTCCTGCCTGCCTGACTGCGTGTGGGCGGCTGCGTTGAAAACCAAAGGTTTCAATATACTCACTTGCGAACAAATTTTTCGGTCGCTCGGCCATTGTGTGGGGTGCGGGGTCACTGCCAGAAAGTATCGATGTCGCTGTAGCTGTGTGTGGATGTGTTCTCGTCCAAAGGATGTCTGTTCCGTGTCCGTCCGCAGTTTTCAGCAGGCGCCGCGCCCCGAATACAACACGTTGCCTGTGGCTGCGTTTGGTCCGCCAATTCGATCGGTCGATTGCCGACGACACTAGGCTTTCCGCTGGATGCAACGCAACTACTTTTTCACTGGGAAAGCGCACATTTATGCACTTTTTTCGCAATTTTGCTAAACATTTACATAAATAGCGGAAACAAAACAGTATGACCAGCCTAGTCGATCAATTTTCCCACAGAATTATACCAAATATAACATTTTCCGTTTTCTGTCGTTTTTAAATACCAACTGTAGCTTATACGACCAGCATTTGATAATTTTGTACATTTTTATAAATTGATTTGTCATAATTTAATTGTCATTAAGTAAATGTATTGTTTAACAATATCAAATAATAATTATAATATTTAAAAGATAGATGAAGGAGGAACGAACAATAAAAGTAAATAAGACGATTGACTTTATTACTGAAATATCGGCAATTAAGCGATATTTTCATCAGTTTGTGTGGGAACAGCTGATTTCAGTTGCCAATATTTTCAATCAGTCGTCAAGGGAATATCCGGATTGAATATTTAACTATATTAGCCAGTTCGGAATGCCAAATAATTAAAAATAATACAACAAAAATTTTTAACTGTGTACTTTAAAAAATTTAGTATATACTAAAGTTTAGATTTAAATCTAATGTCAACAATAGCCTCAGAATATTTCCAAGTATTCGTTTAAAGCGATTTCATTTCAACATTATCTGACTTTTAAAATCCTCATCAAAAAACTTAATTTGTTACTCATTTTTAAATTCTGTGACGTCACGATTGCTTGAAGTCACCTTTCCGTCAGTGCACCCTGCAGATTCTTACTTCATCCTCTTCATCATGTCCAGTGGATTCGTTCGCAGCAGCTACAAGTTATTCGTGGGAAACTTGCCGTGGACAATTAGCAGCAAGGAGCTGCGGACGTACTTCTCTCGCTATGGGCACGTCGCCAACGCGGAGGTAGTCTTTGACCGGCAACTGGGTCTGTCCAAGCACTATGGCTTTGTGGTCTTCAGCCAGCGGGATGCCTTCAACAGCGCCAGCAACCAGAACACCCACTTCTTGGAGGGTCGCGTCCTCACCGTCCAGAGAGCAAATGAAACTGCTTAGGATACATGAATTAGATTTATTTTAAAGCCAGGCGATTGGAGAATTGGAGATAGCTTAGTTGTACACAAACGTAAAGAATGAAAACATCCCTTCAAATTTGGGGCTACGCACAGGGCAGTTGTCTCATTTCTTGGGCAAGTAGAACTTGGAGTTGGTGCCTACCACGTCCTGAACGCTAGTATGCCCAAGCTGGGTGATCAGCGACGAAAGCTCCGCCTTTATGTCGGCGACGAGATTCGGACCCTCGTACACAAGAGCCGTGTAAACCTGGACGTACGAGGCTCCCGCCTCGATTTTCTCATATGCATCATAACCGGAAGCGACACCGCCGACCCCAATGATGGGAATCTTGCCGCCGGTAAGCTCGTACATCTGGGCGATCATCTCCGTTGAACGGGCTTTGAGCGGTGGCCCGCTCAAGCCTCCCTCCTGCGAAGCCAGTTCGTTGGATTCAACGTTCTTTCGAGACACCGTCGTGTTGGACACTATCAGGCCATCCACGGGGCTCTGCTTGCGCTTGATCACCCAGACGATGTCCTTCATGTCGTCCAGAGACAGGTCGGGCGAGAGTTTCAAGAAGATTGGCACTTTTTTGTTTGTGTCCAGACCCGACCGCGCATTGTTCACCTGCTCTAACAGCTCCGCCAGCTTGTCCTTATTCTGCATGTCGCGCAGACCTTTGGTGTTGGGACTGCTCACATTAATAACGAGGTAATCTGCTACGGGGCCGAACACCCGCACGCCTTGCACATAGTCGGCGATGGGGCTCATGGTGGACTTGTTCCGACCCAGATTGACCCCCACTACGCCATTGAAGTCCTCCCTGCTGCGGAGCAGGCGCAACCGCTGGAGCACCGCCTGGTGGCCCTCGCTGTTAAACCCGTACCGGTTGATAATGGCTCGATCGTTGGATAGACGAAAGACCCTAGGTTTGGGGTTGCCTTCCTGGGCGACCGGTGTGACGGTACCGACCTCGATGAAGCCGAAGCCCAAGTCGCGCAGTCCGCTCACGGCCTCCGCATTCTTGTCAAAGCCGGCGGCAATGCCGATCGGGTTGCTAAGCAACCTGCCAAAGAATGGTGTGTGCAGGTTTATGTCGTCTTGGTATTGGGACACCGGACACATGCGGTACTTGCAGGCAAGCACGGCCAGATGGTGACTGGTTTCCGCCGGCAGCAGCCGAACGACTGGCATCACAAACGTTCGGAACATCTGCTCCTGTTTCTTGTACGCGGTCAGGCCAGCCACTACGGCAGTTGCTCCGGCCGTAACGATGAACAGCGAACGCAGGCGACCCTGCCGGAATGATGACTACAAAAGGCGCTCAAAAATAAGAAGTACTTTACTCACAAATTTCCATGTTTTCCTCGCTGCATTATTTAAGTGATCCTGGTCCATGTTTATCGGTGCCTATCGACAACAACTGCGTGCGTAAGCGGGTGTGGATTTCTATAAAAGATACAAAAGTATACTATGGCAACTATTTCTTTACATTAGGTATAATTTAGAAAAAGAATATTATCATGTTATGTGAAAGCCTACTAGCATGAAATTGTCATCTAACTGGGAAAGAGAAACCAGCCGCCTGGCTTATCGATAACACTGCATTGTGCCGTCTCTAGTTGTTGAGTCAATTCATTTGTTATGGTCGCATTTGAGTAAAATAAGGCCATGAAGGGCGGCACGTTTCGCAATACGCAATGGGATCCCACGCTCCTGATTTCGCAGATCCTGTCGATGCAGTTCTGCGTGTACTTCACTCTGGGTCTACTGGTGTTCGTGGCCAACAAGTTCTCCGGGGACAACTACAGTCTGGATCACTTATTCGAGTACCATGTACATATACTGGCGTTGCAATCTACTATCTCTGCAGCCCTTTAATATTCTGTTTGTCCTTCCAGGAGATACACATATACGACCTTGGCGGACGACTCGTCATCTGCGCCTTTGTGCTGAATGCGTTCCTGGCCTCCACGGCTTTGTGGTGCATCGTTAGGCGGGCCAAGCTCTGTCTCGACTTTAGGTGTGCTACTCAGATAAATACATATGTATTTTTATTTTTCTATTCCAAGGGTGTTATAATCCTGGGCAGAACTTAGGCACGCAGTAAAAGGAATTTCCGAGCCTAAAAACAAATTTCCTACATCTGTAAAGGTACATTGTCCGGCCGTCCGACTGTCTGTTTACTCAAACTAGTCTGCCTCTCCACATAGTCTTTTTAGCTTCATTGTTGTTCAACATATTTTTTATCTAAACTCGGTTTTCTTTATTTTCATTCGTCAAAGTATGACTATGTAATAGAGCCTCCATTTTCTCGACGTAAATTTTATCAAAGTCGGATCCTTTTATTATATACAAAACTGTCATATATCAATGTAATAATGATCATTGAATCGAAATCTCTCTTTGTCCTAAAGTTGTCATAGAAACTATCCGGTCGGGAAGTATCAACTTTCGTTCTTGTTTTGTATTTAATTGCATCATACTCTTCTAATAATATAATTTTCCCTGTCTCCGGCTTATGAAGCTGCACCTTCCACATCCTGCACTTGGTCATATGCTGGTGGTACAACCGCTCGTTTCCCGCCAACGCGTCCTGGTGGCTGCTCAACGTCATTACCGGCACGATAATGTGCATAGGCGGCGAGTTCCTCTGCCTGCAAACCGAAATGAAGGAGATCCCTGTGGGCTATGCTGCTCTCAACCAAAAGTCGGACGTCTGAACCAAAAGCCTTGCGATGACAACCATTTTCTCTGTACATTTATTGTTAAACTAGCATAAGATTACATAGCGTATACACGATATTCTGCGACTCTATTAATGTAGTATCTGGTACACGAACGGGGGACGTTGCCTCAGCTTAAGTTCCTCAGGCACTGAAGCTGGTGGCATAGAGAACTTTATGATATCTGAACCACTGTAATTCCTCGATATTATTGACCAAAAGTGCACCTCGCCAGGCAAAAACATCCAGTAGCTAAAGGCCAATATAATTGTCGCGATTAGAGAACCAAGGAGGAGCAACATCCAGCAAAATCCATGATGCCGTGGCTTCTGCATGTCCGGTTATTTTAGCGAACTCTACGAAATAAACACACTTATTCGCATTCACAGTATGCACCAAAAATTGGCTGCCGATCTCCGAAATAAACAAAACGGGTGTGGCCCCACGGGAATCAACCCACCGGTCGAACAGCTCCGAGCTTTGCTCTTCAAATAAATTTAACTGGCAGGGCAAACGCAAATAAAAGAATCGACTTGTTGGCCTGCTCCCCCTGTCCTCCAGAAAACGCCAGAGCAAACTAATCAGGTTTGTCTAATCTAATCTAATTAGAAAGAGGAAGGCAGGCCCGGCAGCCACGATCGTCATCACTTCCTCTTTGATGTTTGCTGCACTCCAATTTGCTTGTGTCCTCAGTTTGCACGTTCAATTGGGCTGATTGCTAAAAAGTGCACAGTTAAAGCTTTGGAGACCAGAATCTGGGTGACAAAGCTCTCGCAGTGGAGCTTCTGAGGGGTCACTAACCCACGCAATTCGTCGTCTAGGGGTAACTCTGTACTAGCAGTTGATCTGTTTTAACTCTCACCAAATAATACCTTAGGACATAGAGATCCTTTGGGCAAAGAGTCAGAGGTGAACCAAAGACAATAGAACAACTAAGATGAGTAACGGCCATACATTCAGCTTGCAGTACGCGAAAATTTTTTAAGTTGGCTGCGACAATCTCACAAAGTTGAGAGCGTAAAAATCTAAAAATAAAATGGGCTGTATGCTTACAAGAGGCTGGCTCCAGACCGCCCTCTTAGTGGCTTTGGAGCGCCTGAAGCAAAAAAGTCGTATCGCATTACTCATCTTAGTAATTTTATTGTCTTCGGATGACCCGTTCACATGCTCTGTAAAGCCTGTCGGCCTTCGCATAACGGTCGACGTTCCTTTATTTATTTATTCTTATTAGTTATTGAGGCTTCTGTTTGCGCTTTTTTTCAATTTAATTCCAAGCATAGAACAATTATAATTCATTGCTTAGAAGAAGTAGAATCCATCAACACAAAATGAAGATAGTCCCCTCAGTGGATCGACGAAAGCTCAGAAACCAAAGCCCGTACATGCATTTAAAACTCTGCCCATAAACCATAAAACTTATTACTATGAATGAAAATCAAACCAGATCTCTTTTTCATTTGCTAAATTTTTAGATTTAAGTTTAGCAAACTTCGTTTTTTAATATTTTTTGTTTTGTGTTGGTTTCTCGCTTCATATAGTACATTATATATCTCGATTTATATATTTTATTATATATATATTTATTACTATTTTATGGTTTCTTGTCGTTTAAAATCATCAATTGAAGTTCAAGGTTTGCGCTTTCATCATCTTGATCTGATATCGACACAGTATATAGTAGTCTATATATTTGTTTGTATTAAAGAATTTCAAGAAAATGTTTGAGAGAAGTGTTACAACTTATGGACAAAAATTCAAATTGTATCTGTTGCTTAAATATTCTTAATATTTCTGTGGTTGTGTTTATCATATTTGTAATATGTATGTATGCATATCCATCGATATATACTCTTGATTCCATAATATAGACCGATGATGGGGATGGGGAGTGCGGACCGGAGTCTTGTTTTTGGGCTGCCTATTCATGAATGTAATATACTTTCGCGTTGGATTTGCACAATTTATTATGAATGCTCGCTCCTGGGCTTAAAGGTTGTGAGAGTAAATTATTGGTAAGGGGTGGAGGTGGAGGGTGCCCGACTCTGTTTCTGTTGTTTTAGCTTTTGTATATTTTTCGTGTTTTGTTTTGTGTTGCGCTGCGTACAGACAGTTTCTCCTTCACATTTGCTGTTCCTATATATTGTATACACGTGCGTGTGGATATACAAATATAGTTCTTATCGACTTTGTATTCTCCAGTTAGTGTTAGTTGCGAAAGTGACTACGGGGCGACGACTGCTGATGCTGCTGCTGGTGCTGATGCTGATGGCCCAGGAAGTTCGCCTGAAGCTGAGGCTGGGGCCTTGCTCATTGACCCCACCAATCGGGTCCGTTGCTCGAGTGCGAGGCACCGCCACCATAAGAGCCACCGTAGGATCCGCCACCTCCACCGCCGCCATAGAATCCGCCGCCTCCAGAGTTTCCGCCTGTGGAAAACAAATCGTTTTATTATCTATATTTAAGCATGGAACTTTGGCTGGTCCCACTTACCATACGAGTTGCCATTGCTGCGGTAGTTCCCTCCACCGCCGGCTCCAGATCCACCGCTCCGAGGCGGTCCGCTGCTACGTCCACCGCCCCCACCTACACCGCCGCCGGAACTCTGACGGTAATCCCTTGAGCCAAAGCCGCCGCCGTACCGTCCTCCGCCACCTCCGCGCCGCTTGACACCGCTGTGGCCGCGATCCGAGCTCATGTCCTCCATGAAGTTTGGAATCTCTTGCTTTGTCTCAATCAACAACTCCAGCAAATCGGAACAAATGTTGCGGTTTTTCTCATTGAAAAATGATGTGGCAACTCCGAGGTTACCCATACGACCAGTACGACCGATCCGGTGGACGTACTCCTCCACATCCGACGGCAGGTCAAAGTTTATGACATGCTTCACATGCGGAATGTCCAGGCCACGGGCGGCCACAGCGGTAGCCACCAGGATGGGGCAGTCGCCGGATCGGAAGCAGCGTAGGGCCTCTTCCCGCTCTTTCTGGGTGCGATCGCCGTGAATGCTGGTCACCGGATGGTTGCACTGGTACAGGAACTCCTCCAGCGAGTCGGCACCCTTCTTCGTCTCAACAAAGATCAAAGTCAGGTTGTCCTTACAGTATTCGGGGCCATCGCGGATGGACGAGAGCAAATCCAGCAAATAGGAGCGCTTGTCCTGCTCGTAGACCCACAGAATCGTCTGCGTAATGTTTTCGGAGGTGGAGCCCACACGACCCACAGCCAAGAAGATGTAGTTGCTGAGAAAATCGCTGGCCAGTTCCTGGATCTGCTTAGGGAATGTGGCCGAGAACATAAGCGTCTGGCGTTGCCCCGTGGGCGGCATGTTCAGCTGCTCGACAATGCGACGGATCTGTGGCTCAAAGCCCATGTCCAACATGCGATCCGCCTCGTCGAGAACTAGGAACCGGATGTTCTCCAGCCCCACCTTGCCACGCGTGATCATATCTTCCAGGCGACCAGGTGTAGCTACAATCAAGTGGCAGCCGCGGTCCAGTTCGCGCATCTGCTCGCTGGTATTGTTGCCTCCGTACAGCACCGCAGGGCGCATCCGGGAACGGTAGGCGAACTTCTTGGCCTCCTCAAAGATCTGGGTGGCCAGCTCGCGGGTTGGCGCCAGCACCAGACCCAACGGATACTGCTTGCGCCGGCTGTACTGCCTGTTGCTCTGCGGCGGAGCCGAGTGTCCGTGCTCGTACATCTGGTTAAGAATCGGCACCAGAAAGGCGGCCGTCTTGCCAGATCCAGTTTGAGCGCAAGCCATCAAGTCTCGGCCGCTGATTATGATCGGGATAGCGTGCTTCTGCACCGGTGTCGGTTTGTCATAACGTGCTAGGTTCACGTTGTTGCGGATGATCTCCGTCAGCTGCACATCATCGAACGATGTGATGTTCGGGGGTACATTCTGACCCGTCGCCTCCACGGGTATATCCTCGTATTTGTCAAAATTGATTCCCGTGTTGCCCACGCCGAACAGCTCCTGTTCCAGGCGCTCGTCCCGAGCTCCCAACTTTGTGTAGTCGACGTTGCCTCCGCCGCCCTCCTTCCACCGGCTATTGTAGCCGCCGCCTCCGCGCTCTCCCCGGTTGTTGTAGCTTCTGTTGCCGCCACCGCCGCCGGGTGGTCCTCCCTCCCCGCCATCGAACCCGGCAGAGCGCTCTGGCTCCTGCCAGCGATCATTGCGCGGCTGCTGCGGTTGCTGCTGCTGGCCGTCCTCACCAGTCTGCTCGTCGAGAGCGTTTCCGCTTCCACCACCTCCGCCGCGATATGAGGGTCCACGACCAAAGCCGCGACCTCCACCACCTCCGCTGCGATTCCAGTCACCGCCGCGCCGAGAGTCGAATTCACCACCTTCAAAAGATTTAGATGAGAAGGTAAGTAAAATTCCAGAAACGCTAAGCGACAAAAAAATTCTTTTAAAATTCTTGGACTAGAGGGACTTTCACTTAAAAGTGTGCTATTGAAAATAAAACACACTGCAAAAAAAAAAACAATTCTCTTGTATGGATCAAATTAAAAATAAATACAGCTGTGTTCACTGAAATAGCAGTGCGACAGAGGAACAACTTCAAAACGTTTTTTTGTACATATTCCTTTTTGCAAGCTGATCTATTGCACATTGTTTTTGTAAAATGGAACCTAAAGATAAGAATCGAGAAAAAATTCCGTTAGATTTGCTCTATTTTTATGTTTTATTGATATTTTTTCACATATGCAGCTCTTTTTAGCCGATCACTGAAATAGCAGTATTTGTTTTTCTTTCGCAAAAAGTGCCGAAATTTCTTTTAATTTTGTAAAAAATGAGTTTAATTACGGTCGTTATTATAGTTTATACTATAATACACCTTTACAACGCAAAAAAAAATATTTTTGTGGGCGCAGGACCTCACTGCTCCATGAGAGAAAGGTATCAGATTACTTAGCCTAGAAAGAAGGGCAAAACATGTAAAGAGACTCCAAATCTTTCAAATTGTTATTTTAGAATAGTTTATAAATCATAAAATATTAACCGAACCCAAAAAAAAACGAGGTACGTTCGCAAAACCACAATTGTACAGGCTCGACGCGAACTTCGCTTCAGCAAAGCTCGTCCTTTTGCATCCTCTAGGGATATATGAGCAGGAATTGGCATGGGAATCAGTCATGGGACCATTCGCCGGGGACTTATTGAATAAATTTTAGACTCGCGAAGTCCATGAAAAATGTCACTGCTTGGTTAAAGGCATATCAAGGCCAGATCCGAGTTCGCCAATAGCCACTTGAACTGCCACTATTCAAATGGCGTAATATCCTTTGGACAAATGACTCCAAACTGGTTTTATTTGGTGGAATAGGACAAGCCAATATGTCCGTCGACCTCCAAATAGATAGTATCCTCCAAACCATACGCTGAAGACAGTAAAACATGGTGGCCTAAAAATCATGGTTTGGGTATACTTTTCATACAACGTTGTAGGTCCCGTATATATGATCTGTGGGATCAAAGACCATTATGTTTATATCCAAATATTAAAAACTGTCTTGCAGCTGTATCCTGAGGAAAATATGCCATTAATTTGGACATTTCAGCAGTACAGTGACCCTAATCATACCATCAAGGTGGCCAAGGAGTGGGTTCTTAATGAAAAAGTGGATGCAATGCCATGGCCTGCACAGTCCCCGGATATAAATCCGATCGAAAACTTATGGGGGACATCAAGGGCTACGTATTAAAGAAGTTTCCGACTTCTAAGCCGCAGCTTTGGCAATTTGTGCAAGAGAAATGAGGCCATATTCCCCTCAAGCGTTGCTAAGACTTGGTGGACTCCATGCCACCCAGGTATGAGGCTATGATAGCTTCTAAATGCTAATTAACAAAATATTAGATCATAGTCAATTAGAATTTAAGAAGAAATAGGTTTCTTATACGATATTTTTAAATTTATGAAGAGTTTTAGTTTTTCACTGCTATTTCAATGATCGGCATAATATAGACCTTTTTTGTTGTTATTAGCTACATCTTCTATAAGGTTTCTGTTACCTAAATTAAATGATTGTGGTATTGTTAATAATTAAATACACTAAGCCTCTATGAAAAAAAATTTTATGAAAATAGTGTTTGTAATAGTATTTTCCAATCTTAAACGTGCAGGTCGTGGGGCACTGCTATTTCAGTGAACACAGGTGTATATATTGTTATTAAAAATCAAAGGTTAATTCGGTGCAATACGGGCCACTTTTCAACAAATTATTGTGGCAAAACGGCTAAAATTACGTTAATGAATTAAATACCATATAATAACACAACATTTAAATAGTTTTTGATAAATTTTGTACTGAAAAATATTTAGAAGTAGAGGAGTTATAGGGAATCTCCCGAGTCGCTTCCAAAAAAAGTTGGTTTGCGGTGTACATCCTAACTGTCCACAGAATCATCCGATCTACAAAAAGTATGCCTCATTCGTTAAAGGATAAGTGTCCCGAGCGTTTTTGTCGAAGCGTTTTTATTTTTAAAATTTTTTCCCCATTTTTATCAAAATTTGAAGTCAAAACACCGATTTTTGACTCAAAAAATTAGTTAATTTGTTAAAAAAAAAATATTATAAAATTAAAAATTAAAAAAAGCTCGACGTGAGTACCTGTAGATTTATCTAAAGAAGTTTTGTTCCTAATTTCAAACCAATTGGTTCAGTAGATTATGAGTTATCGTGTACACCGATTTTCAAAATGGCATTTTTCAGGAGAGCGCTTTAAACTTTGTGATTCTCATACATTGAACACCAACAGACCTACGATCAACTTTTTTCCTTCAACTTTCCCTCCATTAGGGGTGTATAAATAAATCAAATGAATTATTGTTATAGCACGATATCAGCTGTTTACTCTCTTGATCTAGCAACGCCATTCAATTTTCGCAGGTATCATTTTCGTCGTCAGAGTACTTTAGAATAGTATTCAAATTGTATTTAGTATTCAAATTGTAAAAGTAAAATTTATATAAATGACAAAAGCGAAGTTAAAAAGGGCTTGAGACTGCCGAAATTGATACTGCATATTACTAATTTATATTTTTGCTTATAAACAAACAATTAAATAAATGCGGTTTATGGCACGCGCTTGCCCCACATTCAGGCAATTCCAAAAAGGCGTCAGTTTGTGGTTCTGAGCAAGGTTGCCATGGATATTTATCTGGCATACTATACTACTATAAAATACTTCATACTTTTTTTTTTTTTTTGTTTGTAAAAGGAATCCCTCTGAAAGGAGTTGAGTTGAGTCATTTATGGTGGGCGATATCTGAACTCCGTTTAAATTAAGTGGCAACGACAAATTAAGTCTTAATGAATTGCATTAAAAGCAGATCGTTTAAGATTAGGTGTTTGAGTTAAGATTAAATAAGCGCGAACAAATGTTAACTTGCTTGTATTTTGAACCTACCGTTGTAGTTATCCTCGTAGCGACCACCTCCACGTCGTCCGCCTCCTCCGCTACCAAAGCTGCCGTAGTCACCGCTCTGGCGATTGAAGCCGCGATTGCCGCCGCCGCCCCTGCGGTATTCGCCTCCGCCGCGAGGCTGCTGCGGATCCCTGCTGTCCTGGCGCGGATTCGCGGCTCTCGAGTCGAGGCCCTGACCTTGTCCTTGGCCCTGGTTCTCTGCGTCCGCTGCGTTGTTGTTGCCACCACCACCACGAAGATGCGGGGGCACATACACACCACCGGTGACAGAGTTAGTGGAAGTCTTGCTTGTTATGGGGCCGCTATAGTTAGCCGAGCCGCCATTCAAGTCCAGACCAGCAACCTGAAAGATTTAAAGAAGAGCGTAAGTTATATTCTGCATTAAAACACCGAATGTAAAGCTTGGAGTTCGACAACAAATCGCCCACCTTAAGACATGAACAAGTTTTTTAAAAAACTATTTTATTCAGCTTGGCGTCTTTTTCTTTCTTTTTATTAGTGTTTCCTAGTTTCCAAAAGGTTCACCCTTACCAGAATGAAGAGCGCATAAGAAAAGCAGTATTTATTTTTTAAGTTTTTTTTTTTTTTTTTTTTTTTTTTTTTTTTTGTTAAGTTGAAATAATGGAAATTTTCTTAGATACAGGATGCTGAAGTACTGCACTGAAAAAAGGTGCCATGCTCAACCAGATTCTGGCAAACTGGATCGGCCGATTTTAAACATTTAAATGTTACGATTTGAATTTGAATATTAGAGAAATGTTACCTGGCACTTATGAGAAAATTTTAAATTTTTAAAGCAATATTGGAAAAATATTAACTGAATCTCAGAATAAAGAGTGTGCCTTCGCCACAACTACAGAGTTTTAGCGTATGTTTAGCAATGGTAACACAATTTCATTTGTGGATAGACTTGCTTAAATATCGAATGGTGTCATTATCGATGGTTTCCCAGCTCTAGTTCACAAAATGTCTGATGGTACTATTTTTCCCCGCTTTACAACTACAATATATTCAAGATCAAGTTCAATAGATTGCAACTCCGTTTTCCATTGGAAATGTTCTCCAAAACCTCCAAGTTTTCTGTTCCCGCTTAGCAACATGTGTTATTTCACTTCTTGTTCTTTCTAGCGCAACGTGTATACATTCATATGTATGTATATGTATGCATAAGCGAAAATCTCCGCCACATTATGTACAGACATATATGTAAAAAGAGAGAGAGAGAGGCGCAACTAGTTTAAAGCTTAGATTTTGATTTTCGTACATATTCTTTTCGTCAGCAACGAGCCGCTCTCTCTTTCTTTCCCTCGATGCCATCCCACTTATCTCACTCTCACTTACAGGCTGGTTGTTACACAAAGAGAGGCCGCCTAGCAACACAACAAAAACAAAAACAGAGGAGCGGATCACCACCACATAGAAAAATTAATCTCAGCTGTGGTGGTAGAACAGTAAGCCCGGTCGTGGAACTTATGTTCAGACATAGATCTTGGTCAAAAACGCTGCACGTTTTATAACTGTTGTCAATTTTAAATTTCGTTAAGTTAGTTGTTAAGGTTTTTCTGACAACAAATAATACAAATAATTCAAAAATTGAATAAAACAAACATTTTGAACCCCTTGCAACCCTATTTACGACACTCAGCTTCCACATGTGCGCGCAAGCGGGAGAGCAGGAGAGAAGTGTGACCAGACGCACACACACACACACACACACACACACACATACTCAGCCTTAGAACAGCGGCACTGCTCACACATTTAACACACATTGATGGCGAGTGGAAACTTTCATATATGCATATGTACATATGTCAAATTTGGAGGCAAGCGAGCAAAAATTATACAAAAGAAATTACAAATTGGAATGACGAAGCAGAAGAACTTGGGCCACACACACTTGCAAGCAATTCCTATCATGTACTTGATTCACTGTTGTAAAAGAGCGATACGAGACATTAGTGTTATGAAATCAATAAATTTTTAGCCGAACATTGTCCACTAGCCGCATCACACACACACACACTCACTCAGATATACATATAGTTGAACATTACTTTTTTTCATGTGTAGTATATTTCCACCCCTCTCACTTTACTTACTTGCTGCTCTAGACCTGTGCCATTTTGGTTAATAGCATTACTCATATTATCCTCCAATCAGTTGCTTTTTTTTTCTTGCTTTCCGTTTAGGAAAATTTTGCAAAGGTTACGCTGCGTTTTTTGGGGTGCACACTTGCAATTTCCGACAAAAAAATGTATATGATCGTTGTGTTTGTGTTGCACTTTGTGTCTATACGATTTTTCTTAGTTTTTCCGACTACTACTTCTTACGTTCCACAAGCTACTGCGTTCTCGTGTAAAATTTGGAACGATGTCTGGGTTCTGTACTTTTTCGATTTCTTTCTTTCTCTTTTCTCCTACTCTCGCACAGAGTTCCTTTGTTCGGCTTGAAACTGAGACGTTTCCGTATCGGCCTGCTTGTGCCACGACAATTACAAGCACTTTGCAACTCTGCTGGGCTTGGAAAATTCTGCTTTTCCGACGATTTCACGTTTTTTCTTCGCTTTCAGACGCGTGTCTAAAAATTGGGGATGGGAGAAATGTATATGAATATATCGATGTTTTTAAGAGAAAAATATTTTTGAAAAATGTGGCAGCATCATTTCGAAAGGACTTTTTTAAAGGCTATAAAGGTTTTTGCTAAAAAACTCATCAGATTGGACGCCACCAAGAGCAATACATTCAAATCGAGAATTTTAAGCCTGTACAATGACTTGGAGTGTGAATGATGGAGGCAATATACTCGCACAGTCTGGCAACGTCACGACGCGCTTTTTTATGGCTGAAAAATTATGTTTTTAAATAATTTAAATTCCTTATTACATCGAGGTTTCTCCATCACAAGTCCATGAGTAATTTAAAGAAAATTACTAAAGGGTGGGTATTCTCTTGACGATTGAATTACTGATAAAATCGGCAAAGTATCGCGATCGTTAATAGATATTTTAAGCAGTTAGCATGGGAACAGATGTTTTCAGTTGAAAATAACGGCTATCGCGAAACATCCCCGATATTTTTAGTAATTCAGGAATACCCAGTTTATCTAAAAAAAGAGGGAAATATATACTAGTAACCTTGAAAACAAATACTGATCGCGTTGACTTTGCAGAGGTATCGCAGACGCTATAGTTAAAATTCGGTTGGTTCGTAGCTGCCAGATTGTTGTGTTAATTTTGCGGGCTATTGCTTTTTTGAGTCGTCAATCGCTCCTCGCTTGTAGACTTGGATACTGGAAGAGAAATAAGGCTGGGCAGTTGAAATTTTGTATCGATTTGGGCCAAAAGTTTTTGTGTATGCTGAGGTGTAGTTGATTTTTCAAGCGACAATGGCTTTCCCCATATTTGTGATATAAAGCGTCGCTGGCTTTTTGCGTTTTTTTCTCGTTTTAATTTTTAAAAGTTTTGAAAAATGAATTAAATTTTCCCCATAAATATACACACAAAGAATATCTCGAACTCTCGTTTATATTCATGCACTCGTCTAATTAGAATATACATATCGTGGGTGTGTACATGTCCATATAGAATAAATGCTTTTGGTATTGGCCTTAGCTTGAGATTACATAGTGGAAACAATAAATATGGCTATTGTAGTATTGTATACATTTGTATGTATGTGTAACGTAGCTCCATCTTCTAGCCCTTGAGCAGGCAGCGGGAATAAAACTCCCGGTCAATGGCGTCGTTCGGAATGTAAGAGCTCCACTTGAAGATCAAAGCAAGCGTATCCCCGGCAGCCATGTGGTCCAACGCGATGTTAAGGAAGCAGTTCCAGCTGTAGAAGAAGTGGCGACCCAGTGGCTCCTGCTCCACGCCGGAGACGCATTCGCAATTGGCGCACACTAGCCGTCCGCGTTGCAGTTCCACGAATTGCTCAAAGCAGCGAGCCCATGCCCCGACGCTTAGTTGCTTGCCCACATCGGCTAAAAGCTCGGGCAGGCCGTAGTTCAGGACGATGGCCACTACTTTGGTTAGATTCTGTTCGGCTAAATAGAATTTAGCTAAGACGTCCAGGAGAGCCGGAACAGCTTGAACCACGTCGAAGCATTTGAGCTGCTCTCCGCGGGACCAGAAATATCGGAGGAGCACCGCTCCAAGCTCATGATACTGACAGGAAGTGTCAAATCGAAGTGGGAAGGAGCAGTGCTCACACCTAACGATCTCAGCGTTCCCTGGAGCGTTGACCAACACGAAACCTGCAGCAATGTGGTCCCGGGTTGCATCATCTACTTCCCATATCAGCTCGTGGTCCAGATAGTCGAAATACATCTCGTAGCAGTTTCGTTCTGCTTGCTCCGGAGTATCGCCGTGCTCCACCATCATATTCTTCAGTTTCTCCAGCAGAGCCACCAATTCCCCCGCTGCATACTCATCGAACACAGCCCTGTATCGGTCGACGCACTGTGTACGACTGAATTTTGCGCTTTTGGCGATCAGGTAGAGATTGTACAGGGTCTTCTCCTCGGGACTGATGTGAGGGGCTTGGGGAGCCGGTCTTCTGCACCGTCTGACAATCTCCTCCTCCTCCAGATCTTCAGCTCCCGATTCATAACGCGCTTTGATGTCCTTAAAGGGAAGCGAACGCTCGCTGTCTGGGATTAGTTCTCTCACCAACTGTTGCTGCTCCTCGGCGAAAATATTGAACTTGTATTTGATGATGTTCTTGCCAAATTTCCCCGTGACTGTCAGAAGGGCATCCTTGAACTGCCCAGACTTGGGAGGCTGCTTCAAATTGTCACAAAATGCATTTTCCAGTACGTAGACTCCCTTAGGGGTCGGTTTCACTGCACTGCCGCTCAAGCTGCGCTCTGTGGTGGCGGAACTGCCTCCGGAACTGTGAGTGTCCAATGCACTGCCCGTGCACTGGGTTATGGCGTCAAATATCACGGATATATCGTTCAGCAGCTCGTATTCCTGTCTCTCAATGAGTAGCTGCTTCAGTGCATTTAGCTGCTTCAGCTCGTAGTCCTCGCGTGCCTTGTCCGCAAAATAACGCACATGCTGGCGGAGTAAGTTTGCGCACGGAAGCAGTTTTGATTGCTGAATCAGGGAAACGGCGTGCGATTGAAGTGTCTGCAGCTGGACACTGTACAGGGCGCCTGACTGGGTAAACACAAATATCTCCAAGCCGGACGACCGGCAATCCGCAATCCTTTCGAACTGATTGCACCACAACACCACCGCTGATCGTCGCACATCGAACACATACAATCCGAGTTCCGTGAAAGCCAAGAGAAAATCCTCGCCCAACCGTTGAACCTTGGCGAACTGAAGGTTCTGCGGCTGATAATCCAGCAGCTCGGCGTTGGCGTCCAGCTCGTCCGTGCCGCTCCCCGGTCGCTGAATCCTCGCTGGTGCGGTGGCCAAAGCGCTCTTAAACTGGTGTGTCTGCAGCACCTCACCTTCAAAGTCTACCTCCCACACTCGGCTTCCGGGACGGGCGCAGTAGATGCGAGAGGGCTGAAGTGATTCCTGCGGTGAGACGAAGAAGCAGGCACCAAATGCGCCATCACGAGGACGGTTCCCAATCTGAGAACGTTAAAACGAATAATTATTATCTATGTTATTGAGAATAAGCTTACAAGATTCATAAGGACGACAGAAGTCACCTGCTTATACTCCTCGTACTCTGTATTGCACAGAATGCACTTGGTGCAGTTGGACACCAGCAGCAGCGACTCAAAGTCGTCTATCTGGACAATGGGAGAATCCAGGTAGAGCAGCGGATGCACGGTCATGTTGAGCAGCAGGCTGTGGCCGATGAACGAGGAAAGCAGTACGAGGCTGACTTGTCCGCGGGAGTCGCCATAGTAGAACTGCTTCTCGTCCTGCGTCCATTGGATGCAGCTCACCTGCACCGTCTGGTCCAAATGTGTAAAAATCACCTGCGGCGTGGCCTGGGCGGACAGGTTCACTGCGTAGACGCAGATCAGAGAGCGCTGGGTTGAAAATGCCACATATTTGCTATTCGCTGAGATACTGAGACTAGTAATGGCTCCGTGCTTGTTCGGGATCAAATGCAGGAACTTTCCGGTGCGATTGAACAGGTAAAGCGATCCGGAAGAGGCTCCAAAGATGATGTAGCTGTCGGATATGTCGAAGCAGGTGTACTGCGGAGGGGGGTGGTTACTAATGAACGGTCTGCTATCGGATTTCAGGTGAGATTGCTCACCTTGATACGGTTGTGATGCTTCAGTGGCAGCGACAGCGACAGCGAAAAATCAATAAAATTCGTGAGACAGTAGGCGTCGGCCATAGTGCGAGTTTATCTTTTTTTGCAGGTGCACTTGCCAATCACATATCTCGTTGTTTACATTTGTCGTATTAACGGATCGCGAAATGGGTATTAATTATTTACACAAAAGTGTGTAGTGTAGTTGGTCTGCCTGCTTTTCCATCCAAATCGCTGAAAGAGACCCAAATGGATATTTCTCTTCCGCAACGATTGGTCACACTGAAACACCTTCCTGGCGCCCGTGCTGCCAGATTATATGCAGAAATTCTTGCCCCCTTTGCCATCGACGATCTGGTACTTTTGGTCGCTCATGCTCCGACGACCAACGTTGCCAGAGCTGTCTATTTACTTCTACTCCACAAACTCCGGCAGCCCTGTAGACATCAGCTGATATTAAACGTTGACTAAAACTTAATATAAAAACTTTTTTTAACAATTTTAAAAAATTGTTAACTATTTTAAACTTGTGTACCAAACTATGCGTTTTACCAAAAAGATAACCAAAGCTGCCCCATTCGATCAGCTGTTCGCGTTTCCCTTCTCCAATTGGCAGGACGGCTGTCAAAACGTCAAAACAGTCTCGACTCAGAGAAAAGTGTACGAAAATGAGGCGTGAAAAGCTTTAACACCGAAAACAAAAATAAACAGAAGGCATCCAAAAACTAACTCGCATATGCACATAAGGAGAGTTGTGTAGCAATGGGTGACAAGGAGGAGCCCACCACACCCGCGCCATCGCCCACGGAGGAGGGATTGTCGGATATTCCGGCCACTGGAGCGACCAGCGGGGTCAGCGGTGGCGCCATCGGTAACGGCGGGGCCGGTGACCCACTCCCTAACAGTTCCACCGTGAAGATTGTGATCATTGGAGCCGGCATGGCCGGCTTATCCGCCGCGAATCATCTCCTGCAGAACGGCTGCGACGATTTCCTCATCTTGGAGGCACGAGGTCGGGTGGGCGGACGGATTGTGTCCATACCGATCAGCAACAATCAAAAGGTACGACAAGACGTTATGTAAGCCCCATTACAAACTAAATAGGACGACGGTATAGAACTCGTGGCTCGAAAGAAAAACGGAGGCCATGCTGTAACATTTTCCTCGCCTGCCCGCCGTTGATTATAGATTTTTCCAAGCACTGCGCAGTCGGTCAGCTGTTGGTGCTTTTCAATTAATGCTATTTTTATATAGGAGATGTAGCCTTTCTGTTCCTGTTTTGCTATTGTTGCTGTTTCATAGTCTAAAAATGGATTTTCAAACAATTTACATAATTTTGTACATTCCCATTCCCACTGCCGTTTTTTATTATTTTAGTAAACTATTCCCGTAAGGCACATTTTAAACCTATTTTGTTATACAACTTTCTTTGGTCAAGCATTTTAAGATAAGATATGACTTTCTCAATTAAACTAATGGTGACGTTTCTGGTGCAATGCCCCCAAAAGGCACGGGACTGCGGGCCCACGATCACGTAGCCCTAATTATTTGGCATGAAAATCCTACATAACAGGTCTAATTTGCTGCAGTCACTATTGTACTATGTAATTGTGTATTTGCAAGGCTTTTATACCTGCTTTATCTGTTAATTCGAACATTTAATCTTCACACGAACATTTTCTTCAAACTAAATTATGATAATTTAAATTTAAATTATTATTTTATATATCTTATCTAATCATGTAGGTCAGTTCTTATCAGTGTGTAACCGGCGAGTTGATGGCAATTATCTATTTTTATTATACCAAAGCTTTGCAAAATGAATTTAATTTTATTGCTGATTCCAATGTCTCATATTTATGTCTTAGATTGAGCTGGGAGCCAATTGGATACACGGCGTCTTGGGTAATCCTATCTTTGAGCTAGCCGTGCAACATGGTCTGGTCAGTGTTGTCAACGTTCCCAAGCCTCACAAAGTAGTGGCTACAACGGAGGATGGGCACCAGGTGCCGTTCAGTGTGCTGCAGGAGATCTACGAGGCGTACGTCTGTTTCTTGAGACGCTGCGACGAGTATTTCCTCTGCCAGTACAGCCCCCCGCCAGACATTCACAGCGTGGGTGAGCACATAAACTATGAGATAGAAATCTTTCTGAGCGCCGTGCAGGATCCCAAAGAGAAGCGCCTGAAGCAGTCCATATTTAACTGCTTGCTCAAGCGCGAGACTTGCATTACCGGCTGCAACAACATGGACGAGGTGGATCTCCTCGAGTTGGGTAAGACATTTCTAGGATTTCATATATGTATATTGTACGGAATATAAAAATGTCCTACCTTCGCAGGCAGCTACACGGAGCTGCAGGGAGGCAACATTGTGCTGCCCTCCGGATATAGCTCCATCCTGAGACCTCTGGGCGCCCAGATACCCAAGCAATCTATCGTAACTAAATGTCCGGTAAAGAAGATACACTGGAAGCGGAAAAAGACATTTACAGGTCTGGAGACAGTCGACGAGCACTCGGAAGATGAACACTCCGACGACTCGGAGCGGACGGTGACCGAAGTTCCCACCGGTGGACTTCGCGGCGAATCCGTGGAGTCCAACTCCAGTAGCAATTGTGATTATCCAGCTGGCAATGTGCGCGTCGACTGTGAGGACGGCCGGGTGTTTCACGCCACACACGTGATATGCACCATTCCGCTCGGCGTCCTGAAGTCCACACACCGCTCTCTGTTTGATCCGGAGTTACCGCAATACAAGCAGGAGTCCATTGAGAATCTCATGTTCGGCACCGTCGACAAGATCTTTCTGGAGTATGAGCGGCCGTTTCTCAGTGCCGATGTATCAGAAATTATGTTGTTGTGGGACGACGACAAGCGCGACATGAACAGCAGCGAGGAGGAGCTAGCCAGCGAGGCATACCTTAGCAAGAACTGGTTCAAGAAGATCTACTCGTTCGCCAAGATAACAGATACGCTTCTCCTGGCTTGGGTCTCCGGACGGGAGGCGGAGTACATGGAGAAGCTGTCACATGAGGTGGTGGCGGAGAAGTGTACGGAGATCTTGCGAAATTTTCTACAGGATCCGTACGTTCCCAAGCCAAAGCAATGTTTGTGGTAAGAAATACTTTGAATCCTTAATGTAAACATTACATAGTCCTATCATAATTAAAATCCGTTTTTAAACAAATTCTTTTCATTTTAGCACTAGTTGGAAGTCCCAAGACTTTACGGGCGGAGCCTACACCTCAATACCTGTGGGAGCCACCCAGGAGGACATTGAGAATCTGGCTCAGCCCCTGTATTCCACGCCTCAGGCCACAAAGGTGAGCCCCGATCATTGAATCCCTTATAAATATCCTATATCCCATTTGTTTTCCGTTTAGCCCGCCATCGTATTCGCCGGAGAGCACACGCATTCCAGTTTTTACTCCACCGTGCACGGCGCTTACCTGAGCGGCCGGACGGCAGCGCAGCATTTGCTGGCCAGCGAAGAACCGGATGAGATTATAATGGAGTCGGACGGCAGCGATCTTAGCGCGTGGATACAGGGTATCGCCCTAGACTGAGCCCAAGCAAATCAACGACAACTCATCCTTTTTGTATTATAATTTATTTGCCTTTACTTTTACACGTTTCAAACGCTTTTAAGCTAGTGATATTTAATTTCTTCAATTGTAATATACATATATTGTGCGATAATAGTGGACCGAATTAACTTTTTTTTTAAATTCCTTGTGAGAATTGTTTTTTATGTTGTTGATGCCATTATTTTGTAATTTATTTGAACCTCTGCTTGTAAAATACAATACTATAAATAAATATTACGATATATGTAGCTGAGCGATCAACGTGCTGCCAACTCTAAAAATCTGTGCACTCGCAGCAGCTTTTACTGAACTTTGACGAAATGTGTGCACAAAGCATATTGTTGTTTAGAACTAATTACCGAATAGCAAGACATAAGTACATAAATATATAATATGCCTATTTTTATAAATTCGTATTTAACGTAGAAAACGATGCATCAAGTTGGAATTTAATAGATGGACGGTAGTTGAGGGCAAGAATTGTATATTTGAAACTATTGTTAATGTTGACTATTTTGCTAACTAATTTATGTATTAGTTCAATTTTGAGGACGGGCAAATGCAACTGAGGCAAAAATTGATATTGACAAGATATTTGATCTTGACAAAATATATGTATTTATTTGTATTTGTGACAAGTAAAACGACTTGTGCGCATAAAATGAATAAAAGAACACGCTAAATTATTAAATAAAAACTGTTTATATATCTCTACTCCGATTTATTCTTAGACATATTTTACTTTTCGATCTAGATGGAACCAAGTAAGGCTTTTAGTTAGGTGTCATTAATATCAAAATCTACAATTTGCAGCCTCAGTCATTTTAAAACTACATGAAATCGTTGACGTTCTTTTAATTTTGTTGCAATACTTATTACTTATTTAATTTATTTCTTTCTTATTTGAATTAAAAGAAAGAAGAGAAAAATATAGTCAGAAGGTAAGAAAAAAAAAATTTATGAAAAAAAAACCTTCGAGTTGGATTTAAACCAGCGGACCTAGGAATTTCTATTGCAATTCTTTCCAACTACTGTAGTTGATAAATTGTATTTACTGAAAGTCAATTTAGTTACGTAATACGACCATAAATTTAGTTGACCAGCATTCTGTATTTACATTAGACTTGACATCATCATTTCATTTAAAGAAAAATTAAAAGACATTTATAAATATATTTTCCAAATATAAAAAGTGCATACCCTTTATAATATGTTTACAAAACTTTTATGAAAGAATTTTTTTTTTAATTAGGAAACATACATTTAAAACAATCCATTTTCTTTATAGAAACAAATATTAAAACCCAATAAAAAAATTTTCATATATGTACAAATGTATGTATATAGATAGCAAAAAAAATCCTTCGAGCCGGATTTGAACCAGCGACCTATGGATTTCTATCGCAATTCTTCCCAACAACTACAGTCCACCGCTCTACCAACTGAGCTATCGAAGGTCTGTCGAATCGTTCACCATTGTCAATTTGCCTCCCGAGAGAGAGAGAGAGAGGGAGTCAAAGATTGAAAGAGAGAGCGTAAGGTGTTACTCTATTTTTAGCCGTTTCTTGAGACTTTCGAACAATATCGGTCTAATAAATAGGTAATTTTTCACGACACTGAGTTGACTGCGATTGCTCGTTTTAACGACATTAGGTGAAGCGTTCTTATCCGTGCATAGAAAGGTAATATTTTCCGGTAAATATTGATGAGAGTTTAATTGGTTTTTTTTTATTAATTTAATTTATTACATGACAAACTTCTCAAAGAGAAATATGTAATTTGAAATATGTAATGGCTCAATATCTTTAGTATATTGCGTCCAAGTTTTACTTCGATCATAGCAAAATTGACGAAGTTATACAGCCGGCTGGTGTTAAATGTACATATGTATGAGTATCAAAAAGTTTACGGCGCTCTCCCGAAAAGTGCCATTTTGAAAATCGGCCCCTAACGGGCCGAATCTACCGACTATATCATATAGCTGCCATACAAAAGATCGACAAATTTTTAAAAATATAAGTATAACTTCGCTGTTTTTCAACATATTTTCATTTTTAAGATATACATAAGCAAATATAATATAATATACGGAAAGACAGACATGCATGTCTAGATCGACTCGGCTGCTGATCAAGAATATGTACATATACTTTAAAGGGTCGGAAATGTATCCTTCACTGGATTGCAAACTTCTGACTAAAATTTTAATACCCTGCAAGGGTTTAAAAAAAAGAAGAAAATCTAACGTCTGACCAGGATTTGAACTCATGCTACCCAGTTTGACAGTCGGATGCCTTAGCCACTAGACCAGCCGGCAAGCAAGGCAGAATCATTGGTTCCACGGTGAAAATTCGGGTTCTACCGCAGGAGCCCGCCATAAGACCAATTTTTTTGTATAGTTCTATATATTTTTGTTAAAAGCAAAATAAAAACAAAAAAAACAAAAAAATATTAATAAAAAAAACATCCTTCGAGCCGGATTTGAACCAGCGACCTATGGATTTCTATCGCAATTATTTCCAACAACTACAGTCCACCGCTCTACCAACTGAGCTATCGAAGGTCTTAAGAGTTGGGCGACCATTGTCAGTTTCGTTTGCAAGTGACGCGGGAGGGAAACCGGTAGAGAAGAGACACATACGAAGAGACTGTCAGTGATGCCATTTTCGCTCTTCCCGTTAGATTTGGCTTTTTTTTATAAAAGTGTGTTTTTAAAAATTTAAAATAGCGGAAAGCACGAGCTCTCCAGAAAGATCAACCTCGGCGAGAAAAATTAAAAGTTTGTAAAATTACATATGTACAAATTTACATTAATAAATGCTCCGATTAATCAAATTTTATCATATTCTAAAAAAGATATCGAGATATTTCAATGGTAATAAGACATCATTGATAAAATGTTTTATGTTTATGTTTTTTTCAAAATCAAATTTTTGTATGCTTTATATGTATGTTTCTGTTTCTTTTTCAATTTATTTGACGAAAATTGATCGATTATTAATGATTAAATTACAAAGTGAAAGGGAATACAAACTTTGTTGTTGATTCAGCTTTTTCTACCCAGAAAGAAATGACATCACTGATTGTATCTCGTTCTAGTTTCAGCCCAGACGAGAAAAGCTTGTCTTTCTGTAGGGTTGTCGATAAACATGAAAAAATAGTACAATATTTGTAAATACAGTCGATATTATCTTATAAAAAACTATTTTTATTCAATTTTATCATAACTGTATTTTTATACCTTTGCACCAATAAAATATATACATATATTCTTCATCAGGATCAACAGCCGAGTCGATTTAGCCATGTCCGACTGTCCGTCCGTCTTTCCGTTTCTACGCCAACTAGTCCCTCAGTTTTTGAGCTGTCTGAATGAAACTTTGCAGAAAAACTAATCTCTCTATTGTATACATATACATATATGTATGTACATATGTATGCCAAAAGAACGATAGGAAATTTTTAAGAATAAAAATATTTAATATTTTAATGACTATATCCTTCTGATAGGATTGGATTAAAAAATTAAAAGATACTTCTTAAAATCTACTTTAAATTAATGTTTCATTAAAATAATCAAATTTTAAATTAATTTCATACTGCAAGGGTATTTTTATCTCGGCTTCCTTTTTTTTTAGCTTTATACATATTTACATACATAGATACATACATAGATACATACATAGATACATACATAGTTATTAAAAAGTTTTTGGCTTTACTTTTTTTTAAAGATTTGTCAACCCTAACTCCAGAGCTTTTTTCCAGCAGCGAGTTCGTACATTCATATGTACATATGGTTTCAAGTCGCCCCTACAACGTAAAAGGGACCGAGGCAGCCGCGACGAGAGCAATTCGTTCACAGAAGCCGGCTGCAGCGGTCTGACGTCAGTTTCCAGCTCCTAACTACGACTCTTTTTCTTGTCTGTCGTCTGCAAAAATAGACGCGTTACTACTCTTTGGTCAACTGCTTTGAAAGGTTCAAGAGCAGTTTTTGTTGTATCACCAATCCCAAAAGCTTACGGAAAGTCATCAATAAACATCCACAAGATGTCGTACCACAAGCCCGAAGCTAAGACCGTTCAGGATCTTAAGGACATTGCACAGAAATTGCGCATCCACTCCATCAACGCCACCCAAGCTTCGAAATCGGGGTAAGATGCATTAAATTACATATGTATGTATAAGCCTGTGTTCATATTCTAGTGTGTGTGTCTGTGTTTGTGAGTTGCAAATCCAAAAGTTGTGCACCTTGCACTTGTTGCTGCAAAGGTGACCCCTCCAGCCCACAGGTGGAATGAGACATTGTTTAAGAGGGGTTTTGAATGTCTCAATTGGTTTGCCATTAGATTTTATTTAAAATCAGTGCTTAGTTATATTTTAAACTTCACTTTACTCCCCCTTTACTTCGGCAATACATTTTTGTTGCCAAGCCACGTGTTTTCCAGCGGTTATTTCGCGAATTTTTTCCCTTGTCTGTGTGCCCGCTGATAAGCAGCATTCACCTTAATTATAAAATTTATATTTTTTTGACCTTAGGTGACCTTGGAAGTTTTTGCTTTTTCTCTAATTTCGTTTTGTTTTGTGCGTGGCTTCGAAAAGCCGACGCCAGACATTATTGCGTGAGAGATATGTATGTACATACATACATATATATACATAAAATACATACATACATATATATGTACAAGCGTATCAACTGGTGGCAGCGCAAGTGTTGGAAACCACGGCTTGGGATGGGAATGAAAGGAATGGGGAATATTAATGGGTTGATCCCCTACATTTCAGATTTACGACTGTATCGCTTTTTGTGTAATTATAGTAAAGCCCATATTAGACGGCCCTAGATTGTTGGTTAAATACTTCAAAGAGAGAGGACGCTGCTGATAAGGGAAACATTTTTATCGCTTCCATTAGTCTTCCTTTTTTTTCGAGATAAGTTTTAGTTTGCTCTAAATGTGACCCCTGCGAGATAAGCGGCGTTTGGTTACTCACTAAACGATATGCACGATTAGACGCCAATAGAGGTGACCAGTTCGACTGAGTGTTTCCCGCATGATAATCTGAAATCACGAAAAATTGATAAAATAAAGCGAGTCGTGGCGGGTCACTCTGACACCAAGGATCACCTTCATTTGTTCTTGGTTTTGGGGACGCACTTGGAAACTGTCTCCTAGATTATAGAAAAACGTGCGATCCGTCATAAATACATATGTATGTACATATGTGTGTGTTTATGTATGTATTATTACATGCAAACAGATCGTGTAACTCAAGTCTGGTTTTTGAGACATTTGTTTAGGTTTCTTTTTGGGAGCCTGAAAGTTCAAGGTCTAGAAACCGGTGTGGAATTGCGGTACATATAGACAAGTCACACCATACGTTTGTACGTATATGTACATATATTGAACGTGTAAGCAAGTATTAGTATACGACAAGGTTTATTTATATGTTTATGCCTTGGCGTAAGACGAGCCCCCTTACGCTTTGGAGTGTGGGGTGTTATTCTTGCGGTTGGAGTTTTGCCAGATCTGCAATGCTCAGACGTTTTCCCCTTGCTATTTACCTCATCGGTCGGAATCTGATCGCATGGGAACTCAGACTTGACAGCGAATCTTATTTACAGAAATTAAACAGAATGTTGATATTCCAGACATTCTTCTTTGCATTTAGGCTTATTGCTAAAACTCAAGATTCTTATATTATTTACAAATTATTTCGGTATATATTTAATAAAAATCTATTTAAAAGGTTTAAATTTATAGTTTAAATTTATAGTTACATATATTTTCCTTTTGTACTTTAGCCTTCGTCGAGAAGGTCGACTTCTAATGCGAAAAACGTTCGCCTTCACCTAGAAAAAAAGCGATATTCTTACATTCTAAATGTTATTTCTCTCTTCTTTCCCAACAGTCACCCCACATCATGCGCCTCGCTGGCCGAGATCATGTCCGTGTTGTTCTTCCAGCAGCTGCGCCTGAACGTAAAGCATCCGCGTGATCCTTCCAGCGATCGCTTTATCCTGTCCAAGGGACACGCCGCTCCCATTCTGTATGCTGCTTGGGCCGAGGCGGGTCTCTTCCCGATCGAGGACTTGAACAACTTGCGCAAGATCGACAGCGATCTGGAGGGGCACCCGACCCCGCGTCTGAACTTCATCGATGTGGGCACTGGGTCCCTGGGACAGGGTGTAGCCGTTGGCGCTGGAATGGCCTATGTGGGCAAGAACTATGACAAGGCCGACTATCGCACCTATGTGGTCGTCGGCGATGGTGAGTCGGCCGAGGGTTCCGTCTGGGAATCCCTGCACTTTGCGGGCCATTATAAACTGGACAACCTGTGCGTTATCTTCGACGTCAACCGTCTCGGTCAGTCGGAGGCCACTTCCCTGCAGCATAAGTTAGATGTGTACAGGGATCGCCTTGAGGCCTTCGGGTTTAATGCCGTGGTCGTCGATGGACACGATGTCGAGGAGCTGTGCAAGGCCTTCCACTGCGCAGGAATCACCAAGAGCAAACCCACCGCCATCATTGCCAAGACGTTTAAGGGCAAGGACTTCCCCAACATCGAGGATGCAGACAACTGGCACGGAAAACCGCTGGGAGACAAGGCCGCTCAGGTGATCAAGCATCTGGAGGGTCTCATCGTCAACGATAAGGTAAAATTGACGCCCAAGCCGGTGAGCAAGTCTGGTGCTGCTCCGGAGGTGGACATCTCCAATGTGAAGCTGAGCTCGCCGCCCTCCTATAAGCTGGGAGATTCGATAGCCACCAGGCTGGCCTACGGCACAGCTCTGGCCAAGATCGGCAAGAATAACGACCGTGTGATTGCTCTGGATGGCGACACTAAGAACTCTACGTACTCCGATAAGCTGAAGAACCTCTTCCCAGAGCGCTACATCGAGTGCTTTATTGCCGAGCAGAATCTTGTTGGCGTTGCTGTTGGTGCCGCCTGTCGTCGCCGAACCGTGGCCTTTGTCTCCACCTTTGCCACATTCTTCACGCGTGCCTTTGACCAGATCCGCATGGGCGCTATCTCGCAGACGAATGTGAACTTTGTGGGCTCTCATTGCGGCTGCAGCATTGGCGAGGATGGTCCCTCCCAAATGGGACTCGAAGACATTGCCATGTTCCGCACTATTCCGGGCAGCACCATCTTCTATCCGTCAGACGCGGTGAGCACCGAACGTGCAGTGGAGTTGGCCGCCAACACCAAGGGTGTGTGCTTCATCCGGACCTCGCGTCCCAACACAGCCGTGATCTACGACAACGAGGAGCCGTTTACCATCGGCCGCGGCAAGGTGGTGCGTCAAAAGAGCTCCGACGAGGTTCTTCTAATAGGTGCTGGGATAACATTGTACGAGTGCCTGGCTGCTGCCGACCAGCTGGAGAAGAGTTGCATCACCGTCCGCGTGATCGATCCCTTCACTATCAAGCCCCTGGATGCCGGACTTATTATCGAGCATGGCAAGCAGTGCGGAGGTCGTGTTGTCGTCGTGGAGGATCACTACCAGTAAGTGCTAAATAAATAAGTCTTCAATCGATGGATCCTGCTAATCATTATTCTCTTCCTCCCTTACAGGCAAGGTGGTCTGGGCGAGGCTGTGCTGAGCGCCCTGGCTGGCGAACGCAACTTTGTTGTGAAACATCTTTACGTGCCCACTGTGCCGCGGTCCGGCCCCCCATCCGTGCTCATCGACATGTTTGGCATCTCAGCCCGCCACATCGTCAACGCTGTCAACGAGCTGATCAAGGAATAAGAGAATACTGCAAAACAAACTTACAACGCCCAAAATTCCTAGTTTACTCTTACACTTACCATTCCCCCTAAGATTGTTGATATGCGATAATTCAAAATCGAATTGTAATACAGGATAATAAATTCTCTTTGATACAAGTATTTAAGCAGAAAGCCTATAAGTTTTGCTTTCCCGCTTCACGTGAACGTGAACGTGAGATATTACGACCGAATTTGAGAAATATTTTAACTAGAAAATAAAAATTATTATTTAGTATTTTTCATGATTTTCGAGAAGGGCGTACATTGGCGTGGTACAATTTTGAAATAAACTTGATATGTGTGAAACAGATATGTACATATGTACATATTTCAAAATATGGATCTTGCCATGTACAATATTGTTTGGAAAAGGCGAATTCAAGAATTTAGAAGAGGAGATAAAGATAATCTAATAGCTATAAGCGAATACAATAGTTTGGGAATTGGGAAATTATATTCATTTGCAAGCAGGTTGTGGGTCATGTTGGCTGCCATTGGTTTCTGGTTGCTCCAACTTAATCCGTGACCTAACTTCGGCGCGCCGAAGTTTGTATTATTATATTTTATTTTATTTTTATAATTTGGTTTTGATAAAATTAAAAAAAACGAAGGTTGAATCGTATAAAAAAACTTTATTTTAGATTTAAATATCTAATTTAATAAACATTATAAATTTAAATGCTGAAAACACGCACAAAACAAATTACATTTTATCTATATTTATTTTATTTACAGTTTGACAGTTACAGTTTTACACTCTCACCTTTTCATTTTTCTGTACATCTACCGATCGTTTCTATGGTAGCTACATATGTACATATATGATATAGTTGTCCAATGGGCGGTCTTAAAAATGATGAAAATATGTAGAAAAACAACAAAGTTATAATTTTTCCTATTAACTTCCTTCCGATCGTTCCTATGGCAGCTATAAGATAAAGCCGATTTTCATAATTTTAAAATAATAAAAAATGTCCATATCTAAAAAATGATGAAGATATGTATGTTGAAAAACAAGAAAGTTATCATTTTTTGTTCTAAAATTTTGACGATCATTTTTATGGCAGCTATTTTATATAGTCGTCCGATCCGGCCTGTCCCGACATATATAGCAGTGAGAGTGTTCAGAAGACTATATACGAAGTTTCATTCAGATAGCTTTAAGACTGAGGGACTAGTTTGCGTAGAAACGGACAGACGAACAGACGGACGGGCGGACATGGCTAGATCGACTCGGCTCGACTCCTCATCAAGAATATATACCCTATAAAGTGGTCGGAAATGTCTCCTTCACTGCGTTGCAAACTTCTGACTGAAATTATAATACCCTGCAAGGGTATAACAAAGCAGAAAAAGAGAACGTGTCTCGTTTTCAAATGTAGGCGGTTATCAACAAAGTAAGACCACATCATTTTCCTTACAAAAATGCCGAAGAACTAGAAAAAAGAGCGGCCACACTTAAAAAAATCTTTTTCCGCTGCAAAACACACAAATCCATTAAATGCTTTAATTTATAATGGTAATGGTATAACTTATATAGGAGTGGAAGTACAAATGTACATACCAGTATAGTCAGGGTAATAGTGGCAATATTTCGGTAACCATGTATGTATGTACATATTTACATGTCTTAGCCAAATATAAATTGCGGGAAAGCCTTTTAGACATTCACATCTCTGGGTTCCATTGTCGACCATAAAATACATAAAAGCCAGTTAGTGCTTTAGCGTCATATCATATCTATTAAGATAGTAAAAATAAACACTGACCCATTTTTTTTTTTTTGACAACTTACATTTTCGATTTCGGTTTTCTCAGCAGAAACAAAAACCATACACATTTACGTTAACCCAAAGTGTAGTGCAGATCATTAGCCCATATTGGGAGCATATAACATATTTGCATACATATTAAATTATATAACAAAATCGCCGAATTTCCCATACTCGAAAATGTGACTTTTCTGTAGAGTCCTAAAATAAAACGCCAGGATGTATGTTTATAAATTATAAGTCTTACAAATTGTAATTGTGGATTCAGTTGGCTTACAAAAGCGAAGCAGCTACTAACTCACAAAAAATACCGAATATTTTTTGACGCACTTTTTCTAAAACGCCTCTTACAATTCGTCGTGGTCGCTTTCTTTGTCTTGCTTAGATTCATCCTTCTCCTCATCATCATCGTCTTCGTCCTCGTCATCCTTATCGGATGATTTTTTCGCCTCCTCCTCGTCCTTCTTACGTTGCACCTCATCCTGAGCCTCCTTCATCTTCTTCTCGCCGGCTTGAGTGGTCTTCACATCAGCCACCGCCTTGGCCGCCAGCTCAACGTCGTCAGTAATCAGGACATTGTCGAAGATGGTGCCAGACTTAACCTGCCACAGGTCGAAGCCCAGGGTGCAGATTTCCTTGCGCAGGTACAGCTTGTCGTCGGGCACATATTCGGGGTTGGCGATTTCGGGATGCTCCCAGGCGCCCTTATAGTTGGGGTTGTCCAGCTGTTTCGGCTGCCACTCGCCCTTGTACTCGGGATTGTCAATCATCGGTGGCTCCCACTCGCCGTCCATCTCATCGTCCCAATCTTCGGGCTTGGTGGCATCAGGGTCGGGGATGTGCTCGGGCTTCTCCCAATCCTCTGGCTTTTTGTCATCGGGATCGGGAATGGTGGCCTATAAAACATGATAAACAATTAATACAAATAAATATATGGAGTGCATCGGGCAAAAAAAAAAAACAAAACAAACAGCTTTCAATCCCACATCGCCACGTATGTAAATATTAAAACGTTTGCGTTCAATTTAGATTTCTGCATAAATATCAAACAAATGGGAAAGGTGATGTTGAAGGTAGTGGTATCGGCCGCGAGATAAACCGGTTTTTGTATTTGTACCAAAGTCCAAATGCGCTTAAGCCGGCAAAGAGAAATTATAACCTCAGTATATTCTTTAGATTCTTGTTTTCCCACCAAAACCGCAAACTCAACTTCTGAAAACGGGGTAAAAATGCTCACCCTATCATCCCAGTCCTCGGGCTTCTTGGCATTGGGGTCCTTGATCTTCTTGGGGGCAAGGAAGTCCCAGTCGTCCTCCAAGTTGCCCGATTCCACCTTCTCGTTGTCGATGAGCACCTCGTATGTGTTGTCCGGACGCACAATCAGCGTGTAGAAATGAGTGTACACGTCATCTTTGCAGCGGATGTCTTTGCTAATCAAGTGGTTCTTGCCCTTGTAGCTGAATATGACGTGGACCTTCTTGGTACCAGGTCCGCAGATGTCGGGGCCGAACATGATCTCGTACGGCGACTCGCCGTGCATGTCTGTCTGGTCCAGAGAGCAGTCGAAGAGCTTGACATAGCCACCGCCGCAGTCGATGTTCTGCTCATGCTTCACGGAGAACTGCACCACGAGGGGTTTGTCCTCGTTTGAGAACCCTTCGAACTTGCGGGAAACGGCGTAGAAGCGGGCGTCCTGGGAGGTCTGGATGCCTAATAAAGAAACCGGAATGGTATGGTAAAGGTTATCCACATAAAATGTACACGTAGTGGTTTCTTATCTACACATATAAAGAACTACATATACATGTATGTAGGTATAGAAAATGTGCAGGAAAAATTGGACAGGAAAGTGTGACACATACCCTTATCGGTCTCCGCGTCGTTGTAGAAGGTACCGGGGGTGAGGACGAACTTTCCGAACTCCTTGCCAGGATGTTTGCTCTGAATCCACGCGTCGTCCCAGTTAGCTGTGTATTGGAAAGTCCATTGAAAACCACATGCCGCAAGGAAACACCCAAAAATTGACGGCTTTACGTACCATTGTCGAAGTTCTCCTCCAGGTATACGTTGGCATTAATAAAGCCGACTGTCGCCAGCAATAAAATAGCACTTGAACACCACATGATGCGAACGATCCCACTTACTTTTCTGGATTGACGGCTCTAACCAACTTTTCAGGCTGCTTGACTTGGGTTAAAGTAAAATGCTAAATGCCGGCAAAGAAAGGTGCTGTTTATTTATTGCATTTAACTCGCGTGTGTCGGAGGGAGATGGCTAATGTGACGCTTTGCGTTGCTGGAACGTTTTTATTGGCTGGATGTGGACCAATTGGGTGCGGCAACGTATTTTTTCGCTCCGTTCAGGGATGCTTTCGATACACTGGCCCTGGTATATCGATAGCTTGAGCTGGAATTAGAGTGACTGTTTCGAGTATTTCGGCATCATCGGTGCGACCGCATTTGCGCGGCACCATTTAAATCAATAATATTATTTTTATACCCTTGCAGAGTTTTATAATTTTGGTCAAAAGTTTGCAACGGAATGGTCCAAGGTATCTATTCTTGATCAGCATCAGCAGCCGACTCAATATAGCCATGTCCGATTCTACGGACTGTAAGGGTATACAACCTTAGCTTTCTTTCTAGTTGAAGTTTTAGATAGCAATGATAATTTAAGTAACTGGCTTTAAGTTATTATTCTCGTAGGATTCTAAATATTGATTAAAAGTAAATATGGAAGTACAAAATGTTGATTTGTACAAACTGTAGCCACACTGGCTTTTCGCTAAAAAAAATTTAGATCAGGTTTTAGGTTTATTATTATTACCAAATAGCAAATATCTGCCATTATAAAAGCATACCCTTACCTCTGACCGGATATGGAGTGTTTTTGTTTTTCCTCTCGCAGTAACGCGACTTTATCAGGCCGCAAAATTTTAGCGGTACGGGTAAATACCGGCCCTAAGCCTCCTTGCATCGCTCCCAAATGGATTTTGATATCGTTGGCGCCCCAGGTCAAGAGCTAAACCGAGCTCAAACTCGTCAAATTAAATGTTTTTGTTTGGTATTTTTACGCTTTAGCTCTTAAGGTATTTTTTAAGACCTAGCTTGGTCGAATAAACGGTACGTTTGATTTACGCCCACGTGTCGATTTGAGGTGCCGCACTAATCAAATGGATTCCTTAACTAACGGATGGTTCAGCGAACTCCAGGCCGAGCTGTGGCCCGGACAGTCCTTTTCCCTGAAGGTCAAGGAAGTAATCCACAAAGAACGTTCCAAGTTCCAGGACATCCAAATTGTCGAAACGTAAGTCTGTAAAAACAAGTAAACAAATACTTGTGTACACATTTATAGATTTGTTTACATCTGAAACACCAAGAGGGTAGGCATATTTGTGTGAGAATGTGTAGATTAAGTGACCAAAAGCCGGCCTCCACTGCTAAGATCTTCCGAATTTATTTTGATTTAAACCTTATTTTATATTGCACATTTTACGAATATTTAGTCGCAGACGAAAAATAAATTTCCAAGTTTTCGGAGGCAAAACTTTTCCATCACAAATACTAATTTGACTCCGACTTGTAATCTGCACGCCAACAGCCCTTATCGGGGAGTCATCTAAGGCCAAAGACAAAGAAAAAATGATAGCCAGTTAGGCCTCATGTTTCAGGTTTCAAAGCTCATATACAAATCTTTTCGTTTCCTGTTTTTTAGGGAAACTTACGGCCGGTGCTTGATTTTGGATGGAATTATACAGTGCACGGCCAGGGACGAATTCTCATACCAGGAGATGATATCCTTCCTGCCACTCTGCGCCCATCCAAACCCGAAGAAGGTGCTGATCGTCGGCGGCGGCGATGGCGGTGTGGCCCGCGAGGTGGTAAAACACCCGCTGGTTGAGGAAGTGCATCAGGTGGAGATCGATGACCGCGTTGTAGAGCTCTCGAAGAAATATTTACCGGCGATGGCGTGCGGATTCCAAAGCGAAAAGATGAGGCTGACAATCGGCGACGGCTTTGATTACATGAAGAAACACAAAAACGAATTCGATGTCATCATTACCGACAGTTCGGATCCGATCGGACCGGCTGTGAGTTTGTTTCAAGAGAGCTACTACGAGCTGATGAAGCACGCCCTTAAAGACGATGGAATTGTCTGCTCTCAAGGCGGTAGTTTCTGGTTGGACCTGGACTACATAAAGAAGACAATGTCGGGTTGCAAGGAGCACTTTGCGAAAGTGGCCTATGCGGTCACCTCCGTTCCATCGTATCCCTGCGGCCACATCGGCTTCGTTATGGGCTCTTTAAACAAAAATCAAAACTTTGCTAGTCCCAAGCTGGAGAAGCAGCAGATCGATGCCATAGACTTGAAGTACTACTCATCCGAAGTGCATTCCGCTGCGTTTGCCTTGCCGCGCTGGGTTCAGAAACACTTTTCCGATTGACCACAACTGCAAGACATTTTGTGTGTAACTTTGTTGTTAAACAATAAATATGACAATAGGATAATCGCCTCTTAATTGCTTATGATTACAAAATGGTTACTTTGACTTCACTAGATGCTTGCCGATCTCAAGCCCTTAAAAAGCATAAAAGCCTTAAACACTCGTCAAGAAGCCTTGGTACTTTGATTACGGTTGAAAATAGAACAAATCGTAATGTATTTATTACGCAATGGTATATACAGTTTGCTCTATTCGTGTCTTGTATTTGTAAGTGGTTGTTGGTAAACGTAATGAGACTTAACGCAGTAGTTATACACGATCGAATGTTACTCTTTATATCGCATACATATATTGCAAAACTTTGAAAGGAAGCGTTTCTTATGTTTCGAAGTTACTTAAGTCTGATGCGTTTATTTAACTAAAGACTAACAAATTATACTCCATTTGCGTAACTTAGTTGCAAAATGATACATTCGGCCAGTTTTAAATATGGTTATTATAGTTAGAAAACGAAATAGATACATAATTACAAAATTATATGTAAAATATGTACATTTACTCTATATGTATATTTGTTTTGTTTGCTACTTGTCGTCTACATTCTAGTGTTAAATATCATTTGTTTTGCGTTGGTTAGGTTTTGTGCCTAAATGGGCGTGTTTGTGTGTAATAAATATCATGTATGTGCATTGTATTTTGGTAGCCAAGCTCCGGTTTTCAAAAGAGATAATAAATTCCCATGCGAATGTCTTATACCTCCTTAGTAATACATGATTCGGGCCCGAAAATCGAGTAATAAATGTACGTATACTTTTTAACTGGGTAACGTGGAAATTAATTTTTAGCTTAGAGTCTCCACTAAATTCGTAGAAATTATAATGGAAAGGGGCTTTTCTTAAAAGGTAAAGTAAAATTCATACGCGTATTAGGTACCTACTTCTAAGGCGATTTTAATCCGACACAAAAAATGAGAAAGAAAATATATTAACGCTTCTTTGAAAACCGGCTTCGTGGCTGTCTATAATTTTGTTATGACCGTCTTAAATGGGGGTGTGGCTCATGAATTTACGTTGATTTTTCGTTTTGCGCGTCTGTTTCATACATATTATCAATATAATAAAAAGGGCTGAGTGTTCTTTTCGTATTCATCTTGAATGGCAAACGCAACATATTTATATGAATACGATTCATTCATGTTTTATGTTTGCTTTCACGTAAGGGAGAGGTACTAATTTGTTAACAACTTCTATGTAAGACAAGTCCAATGCTTGCAACTTGGGGTACCGTTTAAAGCGCCAGATTATTTCGACGACCGTTAACCTTATTGACTAAATTGCAGATTTTTAAGGCTGGTCCCAGCTTCAGGCCCATGTACTTCATCATCATCTCTGAATTTAGTAGTAATAAAGCTTTACCATCGATTTCCTGCAAATAATTAAGATACAATAAGCTTTAGGTCTTCTTAAGATCTCGTGATCACTCACATGTTTTCTGAAGAGATCACCGTGCACTGCGAGGGAGTTGTCGTTGCTCTCTATGTACTGGATAACTTCTTCGATGGACCAGTCGATAGGCTGCGCCCGCATTTGCGAGTTCGCCGATGCCGGTGTGGGTGTGCTCAGAGGTGAGGTGATCGCTGTATAGCTCGTGGAAGCAGCAGCAGATGCGCCGGCCGGCGCGGTAGCCGCCTTCGCCGCAGTCACTCCTCCTGCAGCCAGTGCAGTGGACGAGGCTGACTGGCAGCCCGTAAATGGCGTGGACACAGAGGTCGGCAACGAGGCACTCGACGAAAGCGTCGTCGGGCTCTTGTAGTAACTGTTGCTTGAGGACTTTATATTGACCTGCTCTGGATGCACTTCCGCTACCAGTGGTGCTAGGTATTTCCCAATCGTGCTGGTATTGGCCGTTCCCCCTGCCAGGCTTGAACTGGAGGAAGTAGACGAGGTGCTGCAATGGCTGGTGGCAACCACCGGAGTCTGGCTAACGTCTGCAGTTCCATTGGCCACAATACTATTGCTGTTCCCGTGGTGTTGGAAGCGCACTTTGCGCAGAGCCTGCGTCGTGGAGGACGATGGGACAGTTGTTACTCCGTTTGGTTCGGTCTTTATAACCACCTTGCCGCTGGTCTTGTTGCTACTGTTCATACTGTTGTTGTTGTTGAAACTATGACTGTTCTGGTGGTTTGCTGCATCCTTGCCATTGTTCGTCGATGCCTTGGTCTTACTCTCCTCAGGCGACTTGATGCCTGCTTCTACCTTGACAATCGTCTTCTCTGAGGGCGGAGTTGTTGCCGAATTGGACTGACGATTTCGTTTGTCGGCGAGCACTGGCGAAGAAGGCGGAGTTGCCGATTGGGTCAGCTGTCGCTTGCGGCTGTTGGCGCATTTCTTGCACTCCTCCGTCTCGTGGACAAGCGAGATGAGATTCGCACATGCCCGGCATGTAGTACACAATGTCTCGATGAACTGGGCCAGGCTCTCGTCATCCTTCATGCGCAACGGCGATGGTATTTTAACCTTTAAAGCGCAAATAAAAAATAAGTCTGTATAAGACTGGTTTTTCGCAGCTGAGCCTCATAATACTCACTGTAAAATTCTTTCCAGCTGCGGTCACAATGTGAACGTCTCCTTCCAAGGCAAATAGCAGCTTGGATAGCTGCTGGGTATCCGTGCTGGCGGCCAGAACCTCCTGGAGGCAGAGCTTGGCCAGCGTTTGGTACGTTGGTCCAGTTACCATGCATGGTAGTTTGGAATTGTTGATAAACGGACCGCCCTTGCAGTTCGGATGGAAGTGGGCCGTGGCGGGAGAGGCGGGTACCATGGCCTCGGATTCGGCTACCAAGGTGTAGCGCGGGCGCGTGCACCGCTGCTTGCTGTTACTGGATTCCATGCGCGACTTGTGCCCCGGTGGCTGCATTGGGTGGCAACTACGCGCACACCAGCCGGCTGGAAAAATATCTCGCGACCGGTAGTTGCACCAATAGTCGAAGGCACCTCGCCACCCGTCGAAGGTTACGTGGATCTGGTCGTCCTTAATGGCGTCCACGGTGGCACAGCAGATGAGCTGCGGATTCTTCTTGTCGACAGCTTCTAGCTTCTGACCCACCTTGAACAGGTTCTCCTCCGGCGACAGCGGCTCTGGCTGAAAGATCTCTTCCGGCGCTACCATGGCATTATTAAGAATCTTGCATAGGTAGCCGGGCCAGCTGGAGGCGTTCATGCGGAATCCTAGTGGCGGCTGCAACATGCCACCGTTCTTCTCGCAGTGGCCAATCGCATGGATTTCTGTGGAGTCCACCAGCCGCCAGAAGTCGTTTTGCGAGTCACTTCCGTCCAAGCGCAGTCGCAGTCGGGAGCCCAGCACACCAACCACTGTGGCGATGCAGGTAGAAGTGACGTTGCGCGGATCCAGGGCCTCCAGCTTCATGCCGATTTTAAAGTCATTGTTGGGAGGATTCTGAGCTTGTTTGAAACATTCTGCTGGAGCAGCTTCGCTACCCGTTTCCTATAATGACGGAAAGAGCATAAATTATTCAATGTGAACATGGTTATGGAAAAAGTTGTTAGTTAGCTGACCTCCAGGTAGGCATCCCAGTCAAAAACGTGAAAGCTCTCGTATTGGAAGGGACCTGTGGGGGCGGGTGCTCCGCTAGCTAGTAGCTTGCGCTCGTTTTCCGGCAGTCCTTTGCCGGTTGCCGAGCCGCCACTGTGCCTAGTGGAGGAATTCTTCTTTTGGTGCTTGTTCATGCACATGATCGAGCAGAACTCCTTGTTGGGCGCCCCGTCGCGAATCACGTTGTCGCATTGCGTGCACGCCCCCTTGCTGTACGCCTTGCGGAACTCGGCGATGCAGGTCTCTGAGCAGAACTCCTTCTTGCCGGTCTGCGTGGGTAGGACGTACTGCAGCGGCAGCTTGCCCTCGCCGCACCATGTACAGGTGGCCCGCTTAGCAGGACGACCCCGTTGCCGTTGCGCGGACGCGGGCGAGGTGGCGGTGGCCGAAGACGAAGCTGGGGCACTCGTTCCAGCCGAGGCGGAGTTGCTGGCGCTGCTGTCGCGTCCGCCCGACATGGCTACCTTGGCTGCCCTTAGGTTTCCTAATTTATGCACTCGCTGATTCCCGCCGCCGGCAAGCCCGTTAACATCTCAGGCGATGGCCCTTACTTCCGTGTAATTCGATTTTAGCGTCGCACTCGAGCACATGAAATGCCAATGGCATGGCGGCCACTTAAAATCACTGTTGTTCGCCTACGGTATATCGGATTCTCCGAGCTGCATGGAAGAACGAAGAGGAGTTACCAGGAATGTGCGGCGTTCTTGAGGTCACGTAATAACAATTGGTGGCAAAATAGCATCGCAACCAAAAAAATACACGCACCGCGCACAGATAGTCGCGGCTTAGTACCAACGAGGCTTTTTATTGAAAGTGCAACGCTCGCTTTCCGATTCGGCTGCAACAACACACGTGGAGCTTAATGCCAGTTTTACTACAAAATCGTATCTTTTTACGAACTTCTTAACTTTATTTTTCGCAAATTTTTTTCTCTCAATACTGTACTTGTATATGTCGAGATATCGATACCTTGTGAATATCGATTGACATATCGATGTTCTATTCGATTATTTGACGTACCGCCATATTTAGTTTTATATCCGTCAAATTAGCGTCGGTGAGTTAGCGTCGAAATGGAACGGTGGGAAATGGAACACGGAGGAGGTTTTTTATTTTTTAATTATTTCGTTATTAAGGCACTAATTCGAACAAAATAAAGTACCTACATGTTGAGAATGAAATTTACTATTGATTTATTTTGGGTTTGGGCAGTTTTGAGCAACGCTGGTACCTAAATTTTCCATTGGAAAAATCGTGTCCGCACCTTTTTTAAGATTTTGCACCCCCACAGAGGATGTACCGCTAAGCACGGTAAGCCAGGTTTTGGGGCACATATTCAAGTATAATCCCAGAAAGTTTCATTAAAATCCTAACGACAGTTTTTGAGCAAATCGCTCAACAGTGGCCAAACCTATGGTTCCCCTCCATACAAAAACCGGCAGCAAAAGTTTAAGGTCGCCAAGCTTAGCTCTCAGAGGATGTACCACTATAACTGGTATATGGGCATATTGGGGAGCGAAAATAGAATATTTGGTGAAAATTTTATTAAAAACAAAACGACAGATTTTGAGAAAATCGCTTTACAGTTTTCCATTCAAAATGGCTGTTAGGAAGGCGCGAACTCCGGAACTGGAACCGGTCGTGAGCCAGTGGTTCAGCGCGCCACAGAACCGAACTAACTTTTAATAAATCGATTAATCCCCGCCAAAAAATATTTCCATTGACAATTTGAACAATTGTGTTAATTATGAATGCCCAATAAACGACATTGTCATTCTAAGCAATTTGGTAGGTGTTTTATCAAATTCCGTTAAGTCGTTCCGGAGAAAATGTCAATTTTTCATTTATTTACTTTTATGTAAGCAAAGTAAACCACCGATCGCCAAACGTGTGACGTCACACAACCCATGTTTCTCACCAATTGAAACACGTGAATTTCTTAAAATCTGTCGTTAGGATCTTGTTAAAATTAATACATAAAATCCTAATTAATTTTCCCTTTCGTTTGATATACCGTGCATGTTGGTTCATCCTCTGTGAGAGTTGTAATAATTAATTAAAAGTTAGCGTCGAAAAGTGCTTACCATTTTCCTGCAGAAGAGAAACAAAAGTCTTGTCAGATAGAGAAATAACTGAATACATTAAATAATAAATTATAGAATTTATAGAAAATTAAAACAAAATTATAATATATTTTTTTCATATAATGGATGGATGTATTGGCTGAAACATCGATTAAAATAATCAAAAGAACAAAGTAATTTGTTTGAAACTTTGAATAATTAATCACGAATGCAGTGCGCTGTGCTGCAATTTATACGTTTGCAATGCAGGAGTTATTTCGAACGTAAAATATACGTATATTTCTACATATGGGTAACTCTCCAGAAACAGCAATCACGGCCAAATAATTCAAAGTTCTCTAAAATGATTTTGTTTAACATAATTGCATTAAGAAATGCACCAATTGTTCAAATTTGAAAGAGTTTAGCATATTTTAAACATAAAAAATGCATACTTTGTTTGGATAACAACTTATAAAACAGAGACTTTGACTTTTGCTTTCTGACAACACTCGAAGAATGCTAGAGTCGAAAAAAGTATACATATAAATATGTATGTTCTTCTAATTTACCTAAAAAGTAAAAAAAACACCATAAAAAGTACGGTGATTAAAATTCAATTTAAAATAAGCTACTTAATATTTTTAAGTATAATCAAATAAATTATTAAGATGTACGCATAATACATTAAAATTTATTCCATTGAAATCTTTCATTGCGTTTCGCTGAAATCAGTGCTTATACTGAGTTTTTGAAGTGATTTCGGTCGGGTAACGTGCGAATGCATTACATTTTAGTAATTAATTTGAAAACGAGCAATTAACCAAAATCGATAGTAGCATCAATTATAGTGCTAACCAAGAGTTAGTTTCAAATTCTGTAAAATTAAAATAAAGTCGTGGCACATGTTTTTCTTAGTTTGAATAGAATCATAGAACTGCCCATACATACATATATTCGTGATTAGAATTATAGACAAATCAATCTAGTCATCTCTGTCTGTCCTTTAGTTGGGCGAGAAAATTTGGACACCAAGAATTGATAAGCGGGAAATACATATATGTACAATAAATTTGGGTCATTCGTCGTATAGGGAATATACTGTATATCTCTTATTTAAAGCAGAAGAACTGATCAGTGATGGATCAATAATCAGTGATCAAGTGTTTTCTGGTGAACGCTCATGAGACATTACGCCATCGTATAAATAATCGGATTGGAACCTATCTTTATATTCGAACTTCCCTCCAACAAAATGGACAAGTGTTCGTATACCTCAAAAAAGTCGGGATAATACAGAGCCTGCACTTATGTATGTATGTAAGCTCGCAAACGGAGTTTCGTTTCAAATATTCAAAAACAAAAGCAAATTCTGCAAATTCTTAAAGTAGTTATAAAGAAACAGTCGCAAGTTATTTACATTGGGCTTTATGAAATTTGGAGCAATAAGAATTATAATTAGTTAAAAAAGTTATATTCTATGGTTATGTTAGTCCACTTTTAGTGACACTTCTCATGAGAGCGCTTTAAACTTTGTATGATGGATGATTAAAATAAATGTTTTCAAAAACCCATTGACGAAATACATTTTCCTTTGATCGATGTAAAACTTGGACACTATATATTTAAGATATTGAGCATTAATAACAACTTGATGTGTCCAAATAAATCAGAATAAAAGGATTTTTGATGATTGTTTATGCCAAATTTGAATTATTGAAAGACTTAATAGGAAGCAACCAATACTAATTGCAGCTGAAATGTATTTTTTTAATTTAAAATGCTGATTTATGGTGTAGTTTAGCAGGCCCAAAAATGTTAATTAGTAAAATTATCGAATTAGGGAGCCTTTCATTTTAAATTGTTATACTTTCATTCAAAGACCTTTTTGTAAACGGACCATCAATTGGTTATAGGCCTCGTCATTAAAGAAAACATAAGGGTGCTGTGTGTTTGTAATGCCAAGTTCTTGGCACTAGAAACATTAATCGAATGGTTTTTAAGCGCTCTTTGAATCTTAAGGGGGGGCATCTGAGTAACTGGCAAAAAAAAAAGCCCATTTTCTAGAATTTTTGTTGGCCAAATGAAACAGCCAATCGAGAAATTGTAAAGTAGGTTTGATAATGTTATATGTGAAGTACAAAATACATTTTTTTGGAATAAATCGAAAACAAAATGGCGGCTGTGCAGCATTTCTTCGTAGGCCCTATTTTTTTGAAAGGGGTCCATGGCCGGAAACCTAACGTCCTTAATTTTTGATCTAGAACAAAAAATCAAATTTTGTTAGATTCTATATCTCAACCGCTATCGACACACGTAGGATTTTTTTTTTATTTTTGCTTATTTTTTTTATCAACCATTTTGTGACGTTTTTTTCTCATGAAAATTGAAAAAAATTTTTGAATCACTCACCATTTTGCAAAAAATCAAAATATCGAAAAAATCCTACGTGTGTCGATAGCGGTATTTTGGATATACTGTCAAAATTTCAGATCGATCGGTTGAGATTTGTTCGAGTTAGGTTTCCGGCCAACTCAAAAAAAGTGTTTTTGAGAAAAACGCGTTTAAAGTTTTAAAATCGTATATATTTACATGAGAGGCATCGCCGAAGAATGGAAAATTTCGACACTTAGACTCATTTGCCGGACTCTATCTTTTGGTATGTTATTTTTAAGACCCTAAAGAACTTTTTAAGCAAAAAATTTTTTTTTCGATTTTTAAAAAAAGTTACTCAGATGTCCTCCCTTAAGGGGGGATATACATGTAAGCGGTCAAAATTTGCCCATTTTGCGTGAATTTTTTTTTATATGAAATAGTCAAGCAATCGTTGTGAAACTTTGTATATAGTTAAAAGTATAATCAGAGATGATAAAACAATTTAGTTATAAACAATATTTTACAAAATGGCGGACTTATGGAACATATGCCGTAGCGCCTCGAGTTTTGAGTTGCCGTGCTATGGACACGATAGAGCTCGTAATTCCTGTCCGAAATCCGTAAACTAAATTTTTTTGTATTCATTACACCTGAACCTTCTATTTGAACCTAAAAAACCAAAAAGAAATCAAGACAAAAAAAAATAAATTTTGATTTGAAGGAAAAAATGCCATTTTCAGGTAATCCGTTTTCACTTCCCACCCTCTTAAGAAATAGTAATACTCAGTTTTATAACAACCATGTAGGTTCAAATAGAAGATAATTTCATGCTGATCATAATAATTTTTGATTCACTCCGATATGTTACATAGTTTTTTGTGAATCGTGTCCATAGCATAGGTAGAAATGCAAAAATTAGAAGCTGAGAAAAAGACGTTTAAAGTTTTTGATGCGCCCACGTTAACACTTGTATACCTTGCGTGCATACTTGATTTGAGGCACTTAGAGTTGGAATTCGATAATGAAACTTACACACTATATTCTTTAAATAATAAACTATTTTTTAAACAAAAAAAAAAATTTGCCCAACAAATTTTGGTTTACTTGTATATCCCCCCTTAAAAGCATAACCTTATTACAATCTTCAATAAATAAGAATTCACTGCAAAACCAACAAAAATATTTGTTTGTAATTAGGGTAATCTAAACCGAAATACTTGCGACTTCTTCGGTTATTCAAAAGCTAAACGACATCGCTCTAAATGACATTCTAGTTTATAGATAACTATAAATAAATAATCAATATTTAACTTAAACTATAAGATTATAAATATAGGGATAGGGAAGCGTTGTTCAATGAAAAATAATACATCTGCTAAAAATTAACTTACCACAAAAACATATCCACGGGATATGTACACAAATACACTACATATTAATTTCAATTTATACATATACACACGTAAATACATTAGTTATATAGCTTATTGTTGCAACATGTTGTTTACCGTAAAAATAAATATATATATTATTCAAAGAGCTGATGTTTTTGCCTTAACTTTAGTTTTTAATTTATAAATGTATCTTATAAAATAAAATGTATCTCTAAAAAAAAAAGGAAAAACGTAAATCTACACTTTAGACATTTAAATTGAGCGAAAATAGTTTTATTGTTTTCCAATGTCTGAAAACTAAGGTTCGTTTGGAGTATTTATGTAATATAATCACAACAATGAACATTGCAAGGAAATTTGATTAACTTGATTTCCTACTTAATATATGTATATCGCTTTACAAGACAAACAAAATTAAACATCAGATGTGTTTCCCGAGATACAACATTCCAAACTGCTTATCTTAGGAATTTAATACGTTTTGGTTGCAATAAAATCTACATCAAAGACGGACAAGTTTGGCGAAACTTTTCTGGGATTAGCTGAAATATATATTCCGCAAACTTTTTGACTAACTTCCACGGCTTGATTCTTCTTGGCTTTGCTTAAATGGCCCGTAACTTGATTTAATTGAAAGGCTTCTAAGAATAATCCGCTCATTTTGACTGCAATGAAACTAACATTTCAAAGAGAGGCTCGAATGGAAGCCAAATATTGTGGTTAAAAAACACAAGGAGCGAGAGCCGCCTTAATTAAATGCTGGCATGTTACCCCGCTTTAATAATATCCACAATGAAGTGTGCTGGCACTAAGATGTTCCTAATCATTAATGACTTAACTTGACCGATACACCAAGTTCCCTGACACTCACACAATCGCATAAACGTGTATAATGGATGGAACCAGCGGTTGGCTGGCCATAACAAGGATAATAGGATGAAATGAGCCGGCTGCCTTTTTTGCTCCTCATTAAATGCCTTTTACCGAGCGTCAATCGTCGGTGGGCTATTAGAAAAAGGGGTGTCAAGAGACGCTCCGTTGAGTCATTGACTTATTACGCAAATCAGACAAAAGGCTTTCTGGGCGTCAACGGCGGGCGCGGCGCCTTGGGTGGGTTCTTGAGTGGGATTGAACTCTGTAGCTCGGTGATAAACATATTAATGAGTCCGAAGCGTCTGTCGCAAGTGGCCCAGTCGTATTAACTGGATTTATTGTAAGTACTTGGTATTGCCGCCTCATTGGGCAGTGAGGGGACTTTACTTTTATTTAAGTAAATTTCAACCAGGTTTGAAAAAAAAAGAATATACTTGTACATTTTCTGACAAAGTGTGCCTTTAACCCATTTACTAAATAGTTTTATTATGGCACAGCGATTTTTCCGCTAACTTTGACTATTACACGTTTTACAAAGGAATTTGCTGAAAATTAAAAGTTAATTAATGAATTTGCCTCTCACGCTCAATGGAGCTGGAGTGTTCTATAAAATCGAGCGGTGGGAGTGGCATTTTGACAGGATTCAATCAGCTATAAAGCATCCTGCTGGGCAGGAAACGGAGGCGTTTGCCTACGTGCTTAATTACAAGCCGACACATGCACCTACAAGTACATAAATACTCGAAGACACGTGTTGAAAGCAATTAAAAAGTGTGTCAAAGTGGGCGAGCATCATCATCCCGAAGGGCGAAGGACACTTTGGATAGATGGCAACACTGTTGCCTCTGATTGTTTCAGAGCGGAATCTGGTTGTGGCTCCCAAAGCAATTTAGAATGCACAAATTGCAGATAAAAAAAGCTTGTCTATTGTAATCAATCTTAGTTAAAAAGCACAACAGGTTCGCTATTTAACATATCCTCCATACCCACCCACCGGGTGCAAGGGTATTATAAATAACTACCAACATGTAACAGGCAGAAAAAACGATTCCATACAGTGTATATACACTACTGGCCGAAATAATAAGTACATGCGTATGTGGTTTGTTTCAAGTCCTATAAAATTGGTTTGATAAACTTAAGGAAAAAACCCACTTAATTTTTAGTTTCCGTTCTTATTCCAGATAATAAAAATAACTGCCTAAAGGATTTTACATTTCAAATTTAGAGACAGGGGTCAATTTTATCAAAAAGCATGAAAATGGGTTGGCCAAAATAATAAGTACACCCATTCTTCTAAGCCTAGAACTCGGAACGTATTAGATATTTTGCACTTCTTTTTTCTTATAAGTAAATTTAGATTAGTATCCAATAAAACCACATTCGTTTTAGGTAACTTTCGCTATTTTTTTGGCATTCTAGCAGGAAGTCTGTGGCAAGTCAGTACTAGAAGCTGAGACCAGGTTTCTTTAGCAAATCTTCACAAATCTTCAACATTTTAAATTGTTTTGGTTACAATTCGACGTTTTAAGTTTCCCCACAATGTTTAGTTTAGGTTTATGACAGGAGACTGACTTGACCATCTCATAACAGTTACCTCTCTCTTGCCAAAAAAGACCTGTTTGGTCATCCAAGGCGAAAATTGACATTTAAATTTGAGCTCGAACAGTTTGTCGTAGACTGCATGAGACAGGATTACAAGGACGTATACCCTAAAAGGTTCTATTACTTCAAGGAAAATTTTTTCAGATGAAGCAAAAGCTTTGCAACATTTTTTTGGTATGGTCTGAACCGGAGGTGGAAACAAAATACTTTGGGGCAATGAAACAAAAATATTTCTTTTTGAAAACGATTCTAGACGTTTTGTACGTCAAACCAAAGTCAAAAAATTGAGCTTTGAAACGCGAAAAAAAAAGTTAAGCCCGGAGACAGATGCATAAAGGTCAGGGGCTGTTTTTCCTGGCATGGCGTTGTGCAAATACATCTCATAAATGGTATTACGACCGAATTCGAAAATAAAACTTTTTTAACTGGCATCTTCTAACCATATGCTTAGAGAAACATGCCCTTCCGATAGATTTTTCAACGAGATAACGATCCAAAGTAAACCTTAAAAGTCATCATGGCCTGGTTTAGGGACAAAAAAGTAACCGTCATGGGTTGGAAAAGTCAGTTTCCGAACTCATACCTAATCAAAAATTTATGGGGAAACTTAAAACGTCGTATTGTAACCAATACATTTAAAAATTTTGAAGATTTGTGAAGATTTGCTGAAGAAACATGGTCTGAGTTTCTAGTAGTGACTTGCAACAGACTTCTTGCTAGAATGCCAAAAATAATAGCGAAAGTTACCTAAAACGAATGTGGTTTTATTGGATACTAATCTAAGTTTACTTATAAGAAAAAAGAAGTGCAAAATATCTAATACGTTCCGAGTTCTAGGCTTAGAAGAATGGGTGTACTTATTATTTTGCCCAACCCATTTTCATGCTTTTTGGATAAAATTGACCCCTGTCTCTAAATTTGAAATGTAAAATCCTTTAGGCAGTTATTATTATATTCTGGGATAAGTACGGAAACTAAAAATAAAGTGGGTTTTTTTCTTAAGTTTATCAAACAAATTTTATAGGACTTGAAACAAACCACATACGCATGTACTTATTATTTCGGCCAGTAGTGTAAGTATTTTGTTGATCACGTTCATCACCTGAGTCGATTTGGCCTCTTCCACCCAACTTTGGTATCTCCTTAAAAGATTTTTAGAAAATTGTCCTGAATTGTTTATGTCAAAGGGAGTGAAACGGTTAAAAATCGTATCCGCCATTATAGGAGTGTATATATTGTAAATATATAAAAAAGGTAATACGAACGGCTTAGATTAATATGTCGGGTCCTTAACTCATCTTGTGCCATGGACGTAGGACGTGTGAAGGATTTATGGCGAGCAATTTCACTCACGTCGGGCCACGTTAGCACCATTGACATGACATTGAGTGCTTCTGCTCGTGCACCGGATCCTCGTCAACCGCCACAGAATATGTATGCGCTGTCTGGCTTTAAATCGAACAATTAATGTGCAAATAAAACTCATTAAATATTAATTGAGTTCGATAATTACAGCGATGACGATGTCGACCCGCCGGCAACATGTTGCACGCAACACCTGAACTCGAGCAGCTCCCCACCGTGAATCCGTCAATTCCTTAATACGTTGGCGCACACCTTGGTGATTTATTAGAGGGGTCTAACCCTCTCAGCCTCCTGGCCCCGTGTCCGCCTCTGATTACGCCTCGGCACCCACCCCATCACCATCCTGGCAACATGCCGCACTCGCACGTTTTCATTCATAACTCTTCGGACTCGGTTCCTTCCTCATCGACGACGCTGTCGTGACTCCTCGGATGCAGCACTTCGGGTGGCGCTCGTGGGGCTTAATATAAAAACACGGCGTAATCGCTTGACTCCGTGAGTCCTCCGTTCGTCGTCAGCCTGTTGCGTTCGAGGTTCGATGCTGGCACCACCAGGAATCCCAGAAACACCAGCAAAACCAGCCTCTCCAGCAGCAACAGTTTCAGTTTGAGTTTCAGGATCCCGTTTCCAGTTTTCGGCGCGGTGCGTGAATACATAAAATAAATTGGAAAAGCGAAAGATTAATAGAGGTCACTAATAGCTGCTGAGTTTAGCATACGCGAAGTATCTCGATCATCATAAATCAATCCGTATCCGTCGCGCGTCGCAGATCCATCCACACCGAAATTAGGGACAATTACCACTGACAAGGTGATTTCTTTTTATGTGATATTATTCGAACAACGGGAATAAGGAGACGTCGCTGTTTATATGCTTTCGAGATTGTGGCTTAAACGTTTTTTCCGAGGGAAAGCGCCGAACCATATCAGATTTCAGCCAGAGCACCTCGACGACGGAAAAGTTGTGCAAGTTTTGTACCCAAATGGGGCGAACGTTGATTGATTGCTTAAAAAACGTTTAAGCTAATTAGTTTTCCGTTCTGTATACATTTGTGTGTGTGTGTGTGTGAGTTTCTTTTTAGACGGCTAAGGCACTGTTGCCGGCGGTTTCAGGTAACAACACATCCCGTCATTTAATAGACAGCAAACAGGCTTAGCGAGCGTTGGCGCTCTTGTTGGCAGCGTCGGCAATCACACCTTGGTATTTTCCCCACGCCTCGCCTTACCCCCGATTGATGGCTCTCAGAATTGACCTTCCTCTGGCGCTTTCTTTTATGGCCATAATCAAATCGGATTTAGGGACTTAAGGATTTACGGCCTTTAAAGCTGGCAAAACTTGTCCCCTATGCCGATGCGATGTTCACATGCTGCTCGCTCGTATTTGCATGCGTATGCAAATAGCTCAAGTTGGCATAGATAAGGCATTTTCATTTCCTCGTTTTCTCCCGATTAAACTGGAGGGACGTGCTGGCAAGTAGCCCCGGGCAATCACGATTTCCGTTTCTGAGATATATGACAATGGCTGTCAGGCGGCGCGGCGGTGGCCAATCCTCAGTGGGGCAGGGCAGTTTTATTGCCCTGAATTCCATATTACTTCCACAAAATCAATATTTGTTCAACTTCAAATGTTAGAATTCATTCATTACATTCACCGCCTCTTCTCGGAAACTTCAATCCTCGGCGAAGGCGAGCGCAATGCCGATGGAGAAGGCAAAAGCGAAGGAATTCCCCTCCATTAGGCAGAAAATCGCTCGAGAATCCCAAATTCAATTGCGGTGCAATTTCCGCTGCAACTCCAGCATGGGCGCGGAAACTTTCACATTTCACCCGCATTCAGCCGCTCGCTTATTTGCGATCTATTTTATATGTAGGGGAAATCAATAATAAAACCCATCAGTGGGCCAAAAGTGCGTCCGCCCACGGAGCACTTGAATTTGGCCCGGACTCCGGACTCGCAATTCGCAAATCGTAAATCCTCGTTCAGCAAGTGGCATCTATATGACATGTGATTGCCGGGAGGACTAATGCTGCTGCCATTAGCACTTACTTACACGATGATGTCTAATGCTCCGGCTGACAGGTGGGATCCAATCCTGTCCCCCAGCGCAGAACAAAAGAGCTATGAGACAGGAGATGCGAGAAGTGGGGTGCATTCTGCAGGAGGGGGCTAGTCGAAATCAGGATTCAAAATTCCGCCGTTTGCCCTGCTTTGAGGAACCACAAAAATTCAGATGTTGAATTCCTGAAAAAGGTCACACATTCTGTGTTGCTTTGTGTTGGATAAACATAAAATGAAATGATGGTTTTAAAGGTTCTAATGTAATTTAAATTGTTAGTTAAATCCGCCTGTGTCAAAAGTTAGTTGTTTTCCAACAGTTTGCCTTGATGAAGACGTTTGTAAAACAATGTATTCAATGAAAGGAAGAAATTTTGCAACAGAATCTAGTTACATGGAACAATGGGCAAGAAAGTTTCAAAGTTTAGGTTACGAACATTTGAAAAAGTTGAGTTGTTTTAAGTATGTGCTGTTTTAAATTAACTTAATTTGAGAACGTGCACTTTGTGTGAAAAGATACTTTTTATTTTGTACCAAGTCAAACACTAAATATTCTTTAAATCGCTCAATATACATACATACATATAAGAGGGTAAGTAACACGAAAGAGGGAAATATTTTAAAATCAATTACAAGTATATGTTTAGGTTAGCTACCTGGTGATGCCTCATTTTTAATACGGCACACACTTTTATTGCCGTGTGTATATATTCAGGAGGTCTTAGGTGGTCTTGTCAGCCAAAGCCGTCCCCTAGATAAATGAATGTATTTACGAGAACACGATTTTCTGCAAGCACAGCAGTCTATTTTGGAAATCCAGTGCCCCAGCAACACCTTTAATTTGGCAACAGGAAAGGTACTGCAGATGGCACATAGACGTCGTTGCTTCAAATTTGAGAACCTCATTTCCTCTTCCAAACTTGGCCAGAGTCTGGGGTACATTTACACTCAACTCCCCTGGCAAGCCGATTGAAAAGTCCACAGGGACGTGAGATTGATATGCATATACATTCAGCGTGTACATAAAAACTAGGTTTCAGAAGTACCACATATTTACGTGACCCATAAATTATGAGGAGCACTTCTTGTTGTCAGAATATTGCACATTTTTCACAGGTTAGCTGTCAGCAATTTATTTTTTCATTCCATTCCAGTGGGAGCACCGGCGAGAGGTCAAAGTTTGCGAGCGGCAATGGTCGAAAATGTTCTAGAAATAATAGCCGCACATATAAGCTTAATTTTCCATGCAAATGACCACAGCATCGTGCTGAAAAATTGTGCGCATATTAGATACATAGCTACCCTGCACCGAGTAGGACTTGGCCAACAGTCATAAATATGACCAGCAGAAGTCGAAATAAGGCAGTGCATTTTCCGATTCATTCCGCATACGTGTGATTATGTAGGGATATTAAATGTTAACGAGTATCTCCTCTGCATAAATTAATTGCATTGCTCCCTCAGGAGCTTAGCCACCTATTTTGTTGGCAAAGGTCTTGTATCAATATTTATATTCGATGTTTGCGATAAATTGTGAAGAATAACATACGATTTTTTAAGCCAAACAATTTGCATTACATCCAAATTTGTAAATTGCGCACACACTCATGCGTTTCTGACCTTTTTTCGCCGTTTTTTGCAGAATGATGAAAGCCACAGCGTGGTTTTGTCCGGTGTTATTAACTTTACTGTGTGCCACGAGGCTCGTCTGCACGGCGCAGCGAGGAGGAGCAGGACCAGGCCCAGGACCAGGCGCAGGAGCGGAAGCCGGCGGAAGCGGCCGCACAAACGGATATCCTCTGGACTACACAGATGCACGGAATATACAGGTGCGCTTCGAACGAATATACATATTCCTTCTGTCCCTTCTCCGCTTTGTGACCGACAGCAGTTTTTGCGGCTCTCTGCGAATGTTTTCCGAATGCACACTCAATTATTGGGTCTGCATTCCACGAACAACCGTTTTCGCAGCTCCTTTGACAGACGTCATGCTTTCTGTTCATAAATTGACGCATTGGTCGAGGCATTAAGCCTTGCCGAGGAAGCAAAATGTCAGCGGACATGTCCTTTGCGAATTGCTTGGCGGAAAAAGGTGTAAGAGAGCTCTGCTCTCAGGAGTTCTCGGCTTTAATAGACTACATAATTAACAGTTTACAAATTGGTGGAATTACCTTGGAGAATACTGATCAAATAATCTATACATTTCGATGGTTATAATTTACCAGCTAAGTTTTGGCATTTTTGTGTGATAATCTGAAGTGCCCTTGCCCAAGGAATCCTTTATGGGAGTTGGAAATCTCGTTCCTTCATTTCCGCGAATCCACTTAACACTTTGAATCTCACTTCTAGCTTAATCTTATCTGGGCCATGAGTGCTTCATCCGTGACAAATGCCGCAATGTGAAACTGGTTCGGACCAACAAAAATTAATCGGCAATCTGGCCATAAAATCAATTGCGCTAACACACACGAACATGGCAACACCATTACTTCATGTCCAATGCTTTCAAAACAAATGGAAATTTTCGTCAAGGATTTTGCACGGGCCTCATTAGCTGAACGAAAACACACAACAAGAGAAACATTCTATTTGTGTTGGCCAACTCCCGTTGTTGTCCACAATCAAAACTTTCACTTCTGCTTTTTTGAGAAGTTGTTTGAATTCGGTAAAGTCGATTCTTTGTCCTGCGCAATTTAAATGCCGCGCATGTTTGTTTGTAAATTGTACGATTTAAGTACATCATTTTACAGTCCCTGCCAAATGATATGAGCAAGAGATATACATACAGTGACGAACTAAATTGTTGGCACAGTTATAAAGCTCAATATAGTTATATTATTTTACAAAATACGTGCACTCCGAAATTTTGAAAAAAAATTTACTTACAAGGAGGTTGTAAGACTGCCGCCTAAAAACTCAAGTGTTTTTAATCCAATTGTAATTGTACAATCATCACTTTGGATCTACCATCTACCAGAATTAGAAACTAGTTAAGTTATAGGTGACATTTTGGGAGTTGGAGGTGGTCACCGTGACATTTATCTGCAATCGTAAGGTTTTTTGTTTCCAAACGGTTGTCTTAGCTCAAGTACTTATACCTGTTATCTGTATATACATTTTCAGTTAATTATTTCATTACTCCCAATGACCACTGGTTATTAGACCGCCAGTTTTCGGGCATTGATTAAAGTCAATTATGAAACTTTCCATTTGCATCGCCCAAAATGACGCATAGTGAGCACGAGACGACATGCAGGGTACATATGTATGCTCCGATAAGGGTCGATTTGCCAACTAATCAGTCAAGTAGCAACTCATTGATTGATGTATGTATGTATCTATGTGCGTCAATCAATCAGTTTATCACCGAGATAGAAACACAAAACTAACAATACATTGTCATGGCCACGAAAGCGAAAGTTCAATTGCGCGACAAGTGTTTAATGAGTGCCGATGTTTTACATTTTCATCAGAAGTCGAAGAAATAAAGACATTCATTGCTGAGTAGTTTTGGGCTCTTTTAATTGCTTAGATTATGGAAACTATAAAACTAAATGACGAGTACGTGACAAGTTCACTTAACGTTCCTTAAATGAGGTACCAAATTAGTCCTATAAATAGCTAACATGTGATTTTTGGCCGAAGCACCGAGAATAATTTAGTTACAATAGTTTAATATTTGATCCGTTCCGCGCTATAAAACTTGTTGAAAAACATCCTCAAAAACGCTGAGTCGCAATATCTTAATTATTTTGTTCAACAATTTTTATAGCGCAAGTCCGAAGCTCTTGAGGAATCCTAGCTTTGTAGTAAGACCAAGATCCTAGACAATGGCGTCGATGGTGGTCTCTTCAGGAACATCGGTGGTTGACTGTTCGGGAGCCTGGGTCGTTGAATCCTCAGGCTCTTCGGGAGCCTGGGTTGTGGAGTCCTCGGGCTCTTCGGGAGCCTGAGTCGTGGAGTCCTCGGGCTCTTCGGGAGCCTGAGTCGTGGAGTCCTCGGGCTCTTCGGGAGCCTGAGTCGTGGAGTCCTCGGGCTCTTCAGGGGCCAAAGTGGTCTCTTCAGCTGAACCGCTACCTTCTTCGGGTTCCGTGGTGTTTTCTTCTGGAGCCTCCGATGTTTCGGGGTTTAGTGTGGTGGACTCTTCCGGATCTTCGGGGGACCGTGTGGTATCTTCTGAAGATCCGCTGCCGTCCTCTGAGTCTGTGGTGACTTCTTCCGGGGCCTGAGTAGTAGAGTCCTCTGGAGTTTCGGGGGCCAGTGTGGATTCCTCGGCGGGATTAGTCACTTCCGTGGTGGAAGCAATGTTCTCCTCCGTTGGTGGGGGTGGTGGCGGCGGCGGGCGATGACCGCCGTGTCCGTGGCCATGTCCATGGCCATGGTTGTTTCCATGACCGTTGCCCTGCCCGTGTCCATGGTTATTTCCTCCGTTCCACTGACCCTGACCATGACCATTGCCATTCCATTGACCCTGGCTGTTACCGTGACCAGCATTCCAGTGGCCGGAGCCTGCCTTAACCGCCTCCGTGTCATCCGAGCCCCAACCGAATCGCCTGATCCAGTTTCCGCCAAAGTTTCCGAACCAACCGCCGTTCGGCCGGCCCACGGCCACCGCCACAAGGGCCGTCAATACAAGGAGCGTTAGAACCTTCATTTCGCAAGTGTTTCGAGTGTACTACCAGCCACTAGGTGGGAGCATTGCTTTTATAGAGCTCCGATAACCAGAGGGTCCACTCACTGCCAGACGCCGCGACCACACATTGGCGTCCCTATCTAATCGCTAGCATGTCTGATAGCCAGACAAACAAAAATCGTAATTATCATATTTATCTGAGCATGATTTCTGGATCGGTTGTTTACGCCGGCCGCCCGCCCGAACTTAGATATGCAAATTCTACGAGTGGGCTTAACTCAGCTTCCGAGAATTAGCTGGAGAGCTGAACTCTTCCCTGGAAAATATCATAAACCTGGACTGAGCTCAGGTTAGATTTGAGCGATTATCTTTACGATCCAGAAACAGTTCCCTGAAATCGCGAAAAGAAATTGCAGTCGGCGTTGTCATGCCCCATTATTAAATTAGAGTATCAGGTGTTTTCTGGTCTCGTCAACAGCTCCTACCTCTCAACTGCTTTTCAGCTGTGACTCACAAAATTTTTTGAAATTTTCCATTTTATCTGCGCGAAGGGCTGTTATCGCCAAAAAGTCCGATTGTTCATCGCGGAAAAAACGTAGAACAATAACTGCGATAAGATTCCAAGATTGATTTTGAACGATTATTTCCCAATGTGGGAAAAACAAGGGGTGATGTAAGCCTGTTTATAGGGTTGCCCTCAAGATTGCCCTTACCCGACCGCCCTCGATGCTAATAATCCGTCGGAGGTTTTATTTCCCATCAACGCCCAAGAAAAACAACTCGGTGCGCAAAACTGTTTTTGAAAATAGGACCTAAAACTTTTTGCATTACCTGGCCACGATTTTATTATGTGATGCGCCAAGAAGTTGGCAGTAAATGTAAATGTCTGTACATATTCTCCCCGTCCAGGATGACTTTCTGCTCGCCGCCAAGCGGAACAAGCCGTCGCTGTCCATTGTCAATCCCCTGGATGTGCTGCGTCAGCGGCTGCTTCTGGAAATCGCACGCAGGCAAATGAAGGAGAACTCCCGCCAGGTGAGTACAAGGGGTGTGTAGGAAGTAGGGTGTGGGGAAGGGTGTGCGCCCAAGGTGATGGCTGCAATAGAGCAATAGAAGGGGCCTTGCTGACCACTTTGCGCGTATTTTTAATAAAAGGTAAGGAAAGGAAAACTTTGGCCGCAAGACAAACGGAAAACAATTCTGCTGAAAGGCGAGGAGTGAGTAATTCGGCGGGAAACGATGCGCAAATGAAAATGAAGCGGCTAATCAAAACTAGAATGTCTAATGAGAAATACTTTCAAAAAGCCATAAAGAACGCGCAGCTGCACAAAGTTTTTTAATTCCTCCTCGCCGGGCTGGCAAGCGCCAGTTCCATAAATATTCCATGGACTATCAGGGCGAGGAGGCCGCCGCCGCCGCCGCCAGTAGGGATTGAGGAGCCCACATAGTCGCTCCGGCAAGGTAAACAAGATCAAATCCCAAGATGGAGCCCAAACAGGGCTTAAGCACTTCGCCCAGAATATATATGCAGCGCCCAAAACAAAACCAACGTTGCGTATGTGTAACACAAATATTTTGGCTCGGCAACAAAGCGAGTTTATTTGGTTACCAAGCGCTCCGAGCCCCAAGGCGGAACGGAATACAAAAGACAAAAAAAGGAAAAAAAAAACATAAGAAAAAATCAAACGTTTTAATGCGAGGAATTCGAACAATTTGCCTTGATAGCCGCCTAGCCTCACCTTTTGGCCCCACGTTGAATTTCCGTTAAAGAGGGTCGATGCGGTGGCGATGGATGAGCACACACTGCCGAGCCCATTCACACACGCCGAGATAACAATATTGATTTGTCAAAGGGTTTTATAAATTAATCCATGCATCCCAAAAGCAATTTGAATTGGTGAAAGATGAGGACCGAACACAGGTATGATATTCTCCTCCCCCCGCCGCACATGCTTTAAGAATCCTGCAGGGAGATTTACTGCCAGAAGGGAAATTTGGATTGGCATTGTCCGCCTTAAAGGAGCACACATCGACGAGGTCTGAATAATGCAGTGAACGATAAGCAGGCACGAGTAAAAATAGAAACGTTTACCTTATATTCTGAATTAGCTGAACGGAACTGAACCCAATGTCAGCCCTAATTAAATACATTTCCAGGCACCAGTCTCATTAAATTATAGAGAAAATTAAAGCCTTTTAAGGAATTAATTGGATTCATGCGATCAAATAATTAAACACTGCAAAGCCACTCGAATCGCTAACTTGAGCTCCAGCACTGAAATCCACGAATATCCATCTAGGAATGCAAACAAAGAACCCCTTGAGAGTCCTGAAGATGGGTTGCCGGTCAATCAAAACCAAAATAAACTCAACTGGTAGCTTTAAACAGGACATTCGAGGTTCAGAGCAAAGGTGTTGAAGAATAAGTGTGCTAAGGACCGACTCTCAAGTAATTAAATAAAATGGCCCGTGAATTGCGAATCAAATTGCAACCTTAATCACATTTGGAGTGTGGTCGACCAATATATGTGTGCGCCAATCTCGTTTGGCTGGTCCTCTGTTAAGGGAGATCCTTTTGGGAATGGAAATGGGAATAGCAGGGGGCTCGGAGTGGAAATCGGTGTGGGTGTGGGAATGGGAAGAGGGTTGATAGCAGCACTTTGTCGCCCATTTTATACAGAATTTGTTGTGACCCCATATTGCTTCTCTTGCACTCACACAGGTCGAACTCAACCGCGCCATCCTCAAGAACGTGGGCAAGCGAGTGCTCCTGCGCCCAGGTCCCAAGGTAAGCAGCCGCTATCGCCAGCAGTGGCCATCCGAGCGGGAACTGGAGCTGGAGCGCGACCTGGAGTGGGGGGAGCCGAAGGAGCTGCATCAGCAGGAGCAGGAGCAGGAGCCGCCACAGCAGCACCAGTTGAGTCGACAACAGCTGCTCTTGCCCTGGCAGCATTTCCCCAGCCAACTGTGGAATTACGTATGGCCGCAGTCTCCGTCACAGTTTGCCGACTCAACACGGACCCAGTCCCTACCAGGACAGAAGCAGTTGCTCAGCTATGCGAAGAAATCTCTGGACGTGGTCGGAATGGGACTGGCATCCAGGCATCGGACCAACGGAAATGAAGCTGCTAACGAAACGAGCCAAGAACACGAGAACGAAGCTAGTAAAACCTCGGCGAGATATGCGGGAGACGAGGAACAGGATGACGACGATAACGACAACGACACCGACTCCGAGGCGGGACTAGGGGGGTTCGGGTCCAACTGGGCCAACGAGGAGGCAGCTGGAAGTGGTCGTGGACGCGGCCGTGGAGCTGTCGGTGCGGTCAATGCAAACGACCGCCTGCCCTGGACCTTTCCCTATCGCTTTCACAGGGGCCAGCATAATGTTAACTAATTGAGCGGGATCGAGCTGCGAGTAAGGATACACAGATGCAGATACAGATACATTAACAGATACAGACACAGATACTGAGGCCGACAGCTAGTGGTATGTATTAGACAGCTAATTGCAAATTGACGGTTCCTAATGGCAGGCGGCAGGCAGTGTTGTGTGTGCACATACTCCCTCGATGACGAACTTACTCCCACGTTGCTACGTTGCTAGATGTATTCGCATTTGAATTCTATATTTTATCGAAAATAACCAACGGTGTATGTAACGATTTATGCTACCTCTCTCACAGATACTGTTGAAAACAAGCCCCCCGATTCACAACACACCCTTCTAAAAAGCATTGTTCCTGCTGGCACTTACTTACAGCGACCGAGGCGCGAAGGATATGCACCTAAGTGCATGCGTATTTGATAGTGATCTATGTGTAATTTGGGTAATTATTTAAACGACTGGCGTTCGTTATGCAGTATTGTCCTGTCGAAGGCGTTTTCATATTTGGTTTACTTTGTCCGCGGGCGGAAATAGGTTCTTTTCTACCTCTCTTTCACTGCTTTTAATTACGCAACACAAATGCTCAAATAGAATTAGCATAATGCGGAGTTGGTATGCACAGCTCCTCTGTTTTATTTGCGGTGCCAGTTTAATCCACAGTCGGTCACTATTGAGTTTATGTCGTCAAAGGAAAGCAAGGGGTTCAAGTCTTAGGAGATACTTAGGAGACAAATGGTTCTAAATCATATACGAATTACGATTTTATCCCTACTTACTACCCAGTACAAGCAAGCTAATAAATACTTCGATACATGAATACGCCACGTGTTGTGTAAATGGACAAGGAATTTACCAAGCAAGTTAATTAAACATTTAAAAGTTACGTTCTGTACATTGCTAAATTTAATACAAACAATTAATTTCTATGTGTATGTAAATAAAATCCAATCGAAGCTAATGAAATTCCAAAAAGAAAAATCAAACGAACAAATTATATATTATACAAAAAATTATATGTATGTATGTACGAATATATACTTCTTAAAAAACAAACAAACAAAATCGAAAATAAAAATCATGAGGCATTGACATGACATTCAATTACAAAGCCGTCCGCTTAATTAACTTTCCTCGGGACTCAATTCTGTGGGAATTGTATTCATATTTATGATGGCAGAGGGTCCGGTCGAAACGGGAGATTCGATAAATACAAGGGTCTCCGAAGCCACCTTTAATCAATACTTGGGACAATCCTGCTTACCTGGGTCTTTGTTTAGACGTCTGCAACAGGCAGGGAGTGACGTTTCTCGTTTCCCTTACAGGGTACCAAAAAATATATATCTGCTGGTCTCCAACTGGGATTATATTGGGCATTTCAGATAAGTTCACATGCTCGAAGCTCTTTATTGAATCGCTACTCACACACATATTGCAACTCTCTACGGATATTGTGCGCTTTTGGACCCCTCCTTGGACGGATTTGTAAAAATGGATAACAGCTAATAATTGTGCTGGCGGTGCTCTGTGCTCCCGAGTGCAAACAGTTTGCCTCGCCCGAGGGCTTAATTAATAACGTTGTATTTGCGCCGGATTACACGAAACTTTAACGTCCGCCCACCGAAAAACAAAAAAGATAATTATCACAGCGCCATTAGGAGCCCCACTCACGTACAGCCGTTGACATGATGGCAAACAATGGCACGGACGCAAAAAGTGACCGGGACAGGAGCGGGACCAAGACGGACTGGGACTGGGACATGGGGTTCGTTCACTTGATGTCACAGAGCAGGGCCACGCCGCGCAGGGTCCAGTGCTTGGGATTGAACTCGGTCTCGAAATCAATCGAGCCCACGTACTTGAGGTCGGTGCGCTGGGGCTTGCGGTAGATGGGGCACTCGTACAGCTTGGGATCCTTGCCGGCCGTCGTGTTTATCGCATATATATAGATGACGGGCATCTGCTCGTAGAGCACCTTCATCTTGGATTCAATCAGCCGGCCGCTGCGGCGATCCAGCGAGGCCCCTGAAAAATTAAGGCAGGTAGGCATCAATTGAAGGCGCCTCAAGTAAGTACAGGGGAAAGGCAGGAAACTCACCCTCGAGGAAGAGGCCGTGCACATACACACCCTCAGTGGGGTACTCGCTGATGTCCTCACGGTTGTAGCGCGTTATTTGATTCTGGAGCACCACCGAGTCCAATGCCCAGCCTTTGTGGGCTCGCGTCACCTCCTAGGAGACAGCGGATTCAAGTGTGTCGCCGCAGACATGTAAAGAAGAAAACCGAACCTTTAATGTGGAGCGAATCAGATACGTCAATCAGGAATAGAGGTTTTAATGGCATACAGAAGGTACTCTTCCGAAGGATGTATGTTTGACAAAAGAATATCGATTCCCGGCTAAGCGGCGATTTGTATTCACATCCTGTTTTTCTTATTAAACAACCAGGCACCGTAGCCCGTAAGTGCAAATCGCAACAGGACCAATGTTTGTGCCCACACCCAGGAGCTGCAGCTTCTTACCTGTCGCATGGCTGTTAGGAAGCCTTGGGGATTAAAGAAGCCCGTCATCCAGAACACCTAGTTAATCATAATTTACATTAGAAAGCTGCACAATGCTCAGTGTCCACTCACCTTGGGGCGATCCGTGGATATCCAGGTACGGAACTGGCCGTTCCGCTCCAGTAACTCGGTGTACCAGAAGCCCAAAGTGGTGGACTCCCAGGATATCTGCAAGTGACGTTGACATGACATTATCGTGTTGGCCAGATTCAGAAACAAGCAAACAATTTAATATTGCACGGCTAGAATGACTAAACGCAATTTTTGGACAGTAAGATAAGTAAGTCTTGGTCCTCGGAAATTGACACGGGCTCTGAAGGATGAGGGACGTGTTATGGTTTCGTGGAAGAGTTTGTGCATCACATAGAAGGGCGTCTTCTCCGTAGTCGAAGCACAGTCTTCCAAAAAGCGTTCTTTTGTCTAATGGGTTGTTAACCCTTGGGAAGCCGTTTTATTTTGGACATCAAAAACACACCTGAACCAGACAGGAAGCTTAATTTCGGCTAGCCGAAGTTTTTCAGTTGAAAAGAAAAACTAGCAGGATAACATGATATAAAAATTTGAATTTGATCAATTAAAAACAATATTTAAAAAATCAGATAAAATAGGTATATCTCAGGGTTGAAATATAAATGTAGGATTTGAAACAGGCGGGTTTCCCTCGCGGCACACTCGAAGCGGTTTAAGCTATCTGGCAACGCGAGGTCAGGACGATATTGAAGTAATTCTCGATAGTTAGAATAAGCAGAATTAAGAAAATGGAAGATGCCATGTTTTGTCATCACTAGATCGTCGAGAGAGAAAAATAGGAGGTCGTGAAATAAGAGCTCGTGCAAACTAAAAGAAAAGAACATTGTAAAATTAATCTAAGCACTTATGTTTAAACCAAATCCCACAAATAAAATCATTGTATTGAATATTAAATTCCTACAATTTGGGGGCTCAACCGGGATTTAACCCAAACATCAAGTGCCAGACAATTGGAGAGTGCTGAAGTGCGTTTTCACACACAACTACAGATGAACAAAAATTGCGAAGTGTGGTGAAATTGCAACTGAAACGAGGCAGTTTGTGAAACGAGGCAACGCTGGAGAGCAACATTGTCAATGTGTGAGCGCTTTTGAGACGAGCTAGAAGACACGCAAAGGAGACGCATGTGGAAGTAGCGGCTGAAGTCCAGAGGCAGTGCGTCAATTATCGTCAGAGCGGCAGTCTGAGATCGGGCCGGTCACGGAAAACTGAAGTTTGCAAAGGCTGATCTGTGGAAGGCGTTGGGAGCAGCGTAAGGCAGAGGCGAGCGGAGCAAGTCAGGTGCGTGAGGCAGGGACTGGACAAGCAGAGACAACGGAGGTGAATCTGGAGCAGGCAGATCATCGTGGAAGAGCACAGGCGGACAAGCAGAGACAACGGAGGTGAATCTGGAGCAGGCAGATCATCGCGGAAGGGCACAGGCGGACAAGCAGCGACAAGCACAAAAAGTGACGCTAACTGGAGCAAGCAGATTTGGCGTTCAAGCAGTTGGCAAGTAACTGGTGGAAGGCGAGACAGGCGGTCAAGCAGTCTCGAAAGCAGTGCATCGAAAGAGGTGCAAAACGTTAAGGCTAAGAAGATCTAATTGGAAGTGGCTGAGAAGCAGTGTTAAGCAGACTGTATGTATAAAATTTGAACAGAACTGAACGTAAGAACAACTGAAACGTAAGAAATTCTTAAAATCTTGAAAAAACATATTGTTATTGTTAAGCTAATATCAATTATTGTAAACATTTCAAAATGCAGCTCGAAGAAATAATGGTTATGAGATGCGAAGATTTGCGCGCGAAGCTAGGAGAGTTGAATTTAGTCACAACCGGTAGAAAGCGCGATTTACAGGATAGGCTTCTTGCTCACTTTAATATTCGTGATGAGGATGAAAACAGCGATTCAGAAATCGAATCTGTAGCTACCGCTCTCGATCGTACAATGCCGGAAATGCCGAAAAGCCGTTCTATGTTCACTCTTAAAGATGTAGAAGGCAGTGTAACAACTTTTGCAGGAACAGGTAGCCCAGATGTTGACCATTGGATTCAAGAGTTAGAAGAATGTGCTTTAACCGTTGAGTGGAATCAGCTTCAACTATTTATTTACTCTAAGCAGTTGCTCAGTGGAGCTGCTAAATCGTTCATTCGCAGTCAGGTTAATATTCGCAATTGGGATTCTCTCAAAACAGCTTTGCGCAGGGAATTTGCAGTTAAAATATCGTCGGCTGAGGTGCATCGCAAGCTAGGTCAGCGGGTGCAAGCAAAAGGAGAAACTCTTCAGGAATATTTGTATGCGTTGATGGAAATTGCTAAGCCAGTCAATTTAGACGAAGAGAGTTTAATCGAATACTTCGTGAAGGGAGTGCCAGATGCGAAGGCAAACAAGATCATGTTATACCAGGCCAAAACTATAAGGGATCTGAAGGAGCAGATCGAAGTCTACAAGAAAGTCCGTGGCACTTTCAAGGGATCATTCAAGAATGAGCAGCGTACAGCTGAGACGGAAGGATCGAAAGGTTTTGTTTCGAAACCTGAATTTGTGCGAAAATGCTTTAAGTGCGGAGATCCGTCCCACTTAAAAAGGGATTGCAAGAAGAAGGACAATTTCAATTGCTATCGTTGCGGACAGCCAGGTCATCGTGCTGCACAGTGCAAGGCCGAACTCGAGGTAAAGCAAGAGAGTAACACTAATGCTATTCACTTGGAGAGCGCAGCCACGAAACCAAAAAGCGAGTTTACAGCTTCCGGCCTTGAACTAAAAGTTGTAAAGCATCCCGTTGTTCAATTTAAAGGACTCGTCGACACAGGTGCAGATCTATGCTTGATGCGCAGGAACATTTTCCTCAAGATAGGCAGCAAACTTCTCACTGGAAGAGAGAAATGCTTGACTGGAATAGGCGAGAGTCAGGTATTGACGTTTGGAAGTATAATCCTACCAGTTGAAATAGACAATATCGAAATGGAAGTAGAGTTCCACGTAGTTCCGGAAGAAGACATGGGTTTTGACGCAATTTTGGGCAGAACTATTCTTGACATTGTGGACATGAAAGTTACTAAAGAAGGCACCGAGTTTTTGCGTCGAAACGCATCCAGAAGTATCGATGAAGAGCAGAGCAACATAGATACCGAGTTTTTACAAGAGTTTAGGGGCATGTGTGCAGAACAGGTGGCAGTTTCAGGTCAAGTTGATTTGTCGCATTTAGATCAATCTCACGTGGTCGAGGTCAAGAATTTGATTGAGGAGTACGTAGCCGAACGCAATGTAGACGCACCAGTACAAATGAAAATCATTCTGAAGGACGAGATACCTGTTTATCAGCATCCACGGCGCTTACCTGTCTGTGACCAGAAAACAGTGGACGATCAA